ACCAACTACGGTTGAGAAGGAAAGGTAAACTAGTGGTAGGAAAAGATCCCCAACATCTTGGTCCAATAGGAAAAGATCCCTAACATCTTGTGTATATAACATTGTATACATTATGTACTCATAATTAAATATTTATTATTTTTACAAGGAACATTGTACATGGGATCCTCGAGATGATGCAACAATGAGAAGAAATTAACATGAAAGAGGAGGAAAACGCTTCGGTAGTATTCTAGAGAGCAAGAGTCCTTAGAACACGTAATGGAAAGCCGAAGTGGATGGGAGATGTGGCTTGGAAAGAAGTTACTGAATATTGGGATTCACCAGAGTTTCTTGCGAAATCTGCTCGGGCAAAGGCAAACCAAGCATCAAAGAAAGGTGGGGCACTTCACACAACTGGACCCATTCCCCACGTTGAGGTCGCAGAGAATATGGTATGCACTTTAGTTATGTTTATACTTTGTTGGAATTGATGAATTATGTCAATTTGTTGTTGGTGATTGGTACACTTTAATTATGAGTTCGTTGTTGGTACTGTACTATTGATTATGAGTTTGAGTACTTTAATTATGAGTTCGTTGTAGGCTATTGCTCTTGATCGTCCGGTAGACCCTGACGAGTTGGTTTGTTTCACTCGATGACATACAGATGGTAGTTGGATTGATGAGTGCTCAAAGGAGATATATGTAATAAGTTTAACTTATGGCACTTTTTTTTAATTTTATAATTTTTGTTTACATGTAATCTCAAACATATAAGATTCTACCTATTGTAGGCCAAGTGCCAAGAGGCTATGCACGACATTTCATCTCAAGCCTCAATTGGCGGTGTGGACCCCTTGACAAAGTTATAAACATGGTCTGATGCCATTGGTGGCAAAAACCACAGTCTGTGTATGGGGTATAGCAGGTTTCTCTTCTACCTTTTCTCGTGCAGGAGCATCAATCTCTTTTTACACATCTCAAAATGTCAAACTTGGAGCTTTTGGTGCATCGAACGATGAATGGAAAAAGGAGATGAAAGAAAAACATGAACTCCAAGGTGATCAAATTGAAAGACAAGAAGAAGAATTAGCTTATTTTCGAACTACCTTGAAAGTTGTACTTCAACGCCTTGCTGTTGTGGAGGGATCTTCTACTCCTCCATCATCGACCCCGGCTACTCATCCACACTACAATGATGAGCGTGATGAACTTGAATTGAGTGATTAATACGTTTCTACTCGAGGTGATTCTGTACACAAGACGCTGCTAATTAAGATTTAGAAACGTACTAATCACTCATTTCATGTTCATCACGCTCATCATTGTAGTGTGGATGAGTAGCCAGGGTCGATGACGGAGGAGTAGAAGATCCCTCCACAACTGCAAGGCGTTGAAGTACAACTTTCAAGGTAGTTCGAAGATAAGCTAATTCTTCCTCTTGTCTTTCAATTTGATCACCTTGGAGTTCATGTTTTTCTTCCATCTCCTTTTTCGATTCATCGTTACATGCACCAAAAGCTCCAAGTTTGACATTTTGAGATGTGTAAAAAGAGGTTGATGCTCCTGCACGAGAAAAGGTAGAAGAGACCTGCTGTACCCCATACACGACTTTGGTTTTGCCACCAACGGCATCAGACCATGTTTGTAACTTTGTCAAGGGGTTCACACCGCCAATCGAGGCTTGAGATGAAATGTCGCGCATAGCCTCTTGGCACTTGCCCTACAATAGGTAGAATCTTATATGTTGGCGGATCTTTGGATTTCAAATACAACATTGCGATCCTCCCGTGCAACGTCTTGCCTTTTACTTAACAAATCAGCAGAGCGTTATATTTTCGGACAATGGAGCATTGGAGAAGATCATAGCAAGGACAATTTCGGACACTTCATAGTTTGTAGTATTTTTTATGCAATTTTTTATTGTGTAAATTTTATTTTTCAATTGTACACCAACTATACAATCAAATATGTTGAATTCAAAATAAAATTTTTGGTTATTTTATATTAATGCCTTTTAAATAAGAACATTGTACTCTATCTGTTTCTTAGTAGTCAAAATCATAAATAATTATGAATGTAAATTTAAGAGTAATAACGTCTTAGTATAAATTATAGATTGTCTTACAAGAATGTCTTAAGGCCTCGTTTGGTACACGGATTTCAAATTATGGAATTGGAATTGAGAACTTAAATTCCAATTCTGGTGTTTGGTAGCACAAAAATTATGTGGATTTAGAATTGGTAGTGCAAAAAATAAATTGAAATTGATGAATTCAATTCTATGGAATTGAATCCCATGGAATTTTAATTCCAATTCAATTCCATTTCCGTATACCAAACGGACCCTAACACTATGTTTGGTTCAAGGAATTCAAGAGAGAAAAGAAAAGAAAATGAAGTGGAAAACAAGTTTTCTTGTTTGGTTAGAAAGGAAAAGTGGAAGGAAAAGAGAATGAAAAGGCAAAATGTACCAAGTGGATGGAAAACCAAATTCCTCCCATTTTGGTGAGGAAAATGAGAGAAAACCATTTTCTTTTCTTTTCCTTCAAAATTCCTTGAACCAAACATAGTGTAAGTGTTCAATCTTTAGGCCATTCCATACAAGTGACATTGAAATCGGTCAATGCCTACGATTATAATTTGTGTTTGTAGTTTGATAATGTTGAATTATCAGACGAGGTGTTAGGGTAATAATCTCTATAGCTAACAACAAACACATAAGTTAAACAATATTGTTTTGGTCTTAACTAAAATCATAATTTTGCCATATTTGATATTTCTAGCATACTACTGTCTAAAATTGAAGGTCATTGCAAAGTGTAGTCACACGTTAGTATCATATTACCATAACTAACAAATAATAAAAGGTCTTAAATTGGTAAAGAAGATTCGTATAGAGCATGGAAGACATTAACATTCATGACATTGTGTTAAAATAATTTAACAATGTCTTATACAATGACCTATGAATTTACCAAAGAAAAGTGTACTAAGTTTTGCTCTAAAAACTACTAAATAAATGCTAAAGTATAAAAAAATGGAAATCAGGCTTGATTAGTTAGATTGTGGTATGAAGATATTGAATAAAAATCATGAGGACATCCTGTTCTGGGGTGAAGAGTACAAACTACAAAGATGATATAATTAATTTGTGAGTGAGGGTAATATAAAAATCTAAGAGATAAAAGTACTTCATTTGATTATGCGCGAATGTAAAAATGAAGACTTTAATTGAAATGCTAATCTATTACTACGAGTATGAATACAGATTAAACATGTATTCCTCATTCCCAAAAAAGTTTTCCTATTAACTATTCTATAGTCAAAGTTTAATCATTTTATTCGCACAATTTCATTTCATTTAGTAAAATAATATTTAGTTGTTACATTTTATTTTGTAAAAAAATTAAATAATAACACACTTATTCCCAAGCCTTAAATTTTGTACTTATTCATATTACATCTTCAATTTTGGAATTTCTTAGGAATATAATATAATAAAAATTTAGGAATTGGAGATATAATTTGATAAAGAATACAATTTAAGACATAAGCATTAAGTCTGAAATAATTAGAAATGTAAAACTGAGCTGTTGAGTATGAAATAAATGTTGTATGTCAACAAATTGTAAATCTTAGTTACATATAAGAATCTTTTTCAAAACTAAATTTTTTGTAGGGATGACTTAAACAGAAAATATTTTAGACAGACCAAAAACAAAACTCACTTATGTTAAAGGGATTAAAAATATTTTTAACCTAAATAAAGTTTTAAGATTTAAAAACAACATCAAAAGTTTAACAAATTAAAATGTGACATGACAATATTATTTTATAAAATGATTAAAGAAAATAAATAAAGTTTGACTATTTAAGTAGTAACTCAAAAATTTTTTTAGGAGTGCCAGACAGAGGGAGGAGGGCGTATCTTTCATATACAGTGTAGTTAAACCTTTAATTTTTGTCTCAAAACAACTCTAAAAGAGGACACATTGTTGATCTTGCTCTTAGACTAAGGTACCGTTCTCTTCAACTTATTTACGTCACTTATTATTTATTTTTATTAGAATCAGATTATATTCATTTAAATCAGCTCAGATTAGATTCATTCAGATCAGTTCAGAATAGATTCATTTAGATCAGATTACATCCATTATGATCAAATCAAATCCATTCATATTCGAAAATAATTTAAAAAATAAATAATTTTATAATAATAATAATAATTACAATTTTAATTATTGTTATAATGATTATCGTCATACTTAATAATAATAGTAATATGAATTAATAATAATAATTAAAATGATAACCATAATTATTACTCCGTAACTAATAATAATCTAATTACAATAATAACAATAGTAATTATTGTTATCATTGTTAATTAAATAATAAATAATAATTATAATTAATAATAATAATAATAATAAATTATTATCATCATGCTTAATAATATCTGAAAGAGTAATTAATAATAATAATGATTAAAACGATAATAATCCTTATTATTATTCACTTATAATAATTAATTATAATGATAATAACAATTAATAATAATTTTTATTTTTAAATATAATAATAATGGTTACTCGTAATTCATTGATTATAATAATAATGGAATTTAACAATAATTATTATTTTAATAAACATAATTATTGTGGTTACGTTGCAGCTCAATTTATTTATAGAAAATTTATTATAAATAATATATTTGTAATTATACTTTATATATTACAAGTTTTTATTTTAAATATCAGACATGTCACATAATGTAATCAAACCTATTTTTCTTTCATAATTGATATTTTATTTTCATTGTAACTCCTATTTTTGGAATAAAGACACACAACTTTTTTTCACATTTTTTTTATGTTTTACTCCTATTTTATTATTTTTCTCTAAACTATTTTGACTTTTAATTTTCTTTTAAAATTAGAAAATGAGAAAATTTTGATTAATAAAGGAAAAGGTGAGGGGTCTTATATAAAGTTAGATTAATAAAACATTTTATGTAACTATTTTATTCATAATTTTTTAATATAGTTAAAAATATTGAAATTTTCCTATTTTATCATGTACATTAATACCCAAAAAATTGTCTTATTCATATTATAAAGTTGAAGAAAAAGTAATGAGTGTGAATCATAAAAATAATGAGATGAAAAAAATAATTTATAAACTATAGTAATGAACATAACAGTTGTATTAATAATAATCCTAATAATAATAATAATCATATTAAAAAATATATCGTTTTTAGAGTAATTGGTTGGAGAGTAGAAAGAGTTTGAAGAAAATGATAATAGTTGGAAGAAACTGGAAGAAATAATAAGAAACTGGAAGAAACTGAAAGAAACTGGAAGAAAGTAGACTAAACTGGAAGGAAGTGAAAGAAACTACTCTAAGTTAAGAGTTTAAGCCCTATAGAACAAACTCTTGATAGCCTTAGACAAGAGTGAGGTAATGCTTGGTTTTCTTTTATTTTATTCTGTTTGGCATATCAACTTCTGCTTTTCTCACAATCATTTTGTACATAAAACACCATTTTGGAGAAGCAGTTACTTCTGTTTTCAGCTTTTGTGAAAATTACTTTATCACAAGTTAATCACTCCCAAATACGCTCTTTATCTTAGCAAGTGAGAATCTCAATTACCTCTTTTGCTCTAAGGGTGAAACGGCGTGTCACAGTTTAAAATATATATTTATTATTCACGAAATCAAATTTTAACCATATTTTTCTATCCATTTTTGCTACTCATTTGAAAAAATAATATAATTATGTCACATCTTATTTTTTAGAATATCCGATGTACTCTCTCTGTCTAAAAAAAGTCGAATGTTGTTGTTTACGAAGTTTGACAAAATTATGTTTAATGCAATTTATTTTAAAATTGGTAAGAAATTAAAAATAAAATTTATATATTTTGAAACCATATCAAAAGTCTTATAAAACAAAATATGACAAGACTTTTTATTTTCTCAAATGGGTCAAGAACGTGGTTAAAATTTAAATTTCTGAATAATAAACAGATAATTTAAATTGAGAAAAAGAATAACTTTTAAATATATATATATATATATATATATATATATATATATATATATATATATATATAAATTTTATTTTTTAATTTTATATCAATTTGCAAATAAAATAAATTGAAGAGCCTTAGGGGCTGTTTGTTTCAGCCTCTTAATGGTTCAGATGTCTGAATGACTCAGACATTTGCCTCTGAATGGTCAAGACCTCTTATATGAATTGATCAGACATTTACTTCTGAATAGTTAAGCAATATACTAGCTCTTAATGGTTCAGATCTCTTACTGGTTCAGCACTTAATGGTTCAGACCTCTTACTGGTTCAACACTTACCTATTCAGAAGTTGCCAAACAGCTCCTTAGTCTAATGCTCGGTCTTCAAACCCAGCCCATATATACGAAGTACTCCACAAGGGCACAATGGTAAATTTAGACACTTATTTTTCAATTCCTTAATTGGCCGAGCCATTTGAATTTTGAGCGAGCATTCAATCAAAATAACCTCCCGGAATTTGAACGCAACGGTCTGAATTTTTTCCACCCCAAGAATTCAAAGCCTTCTCCTTCCCCTTCCCCTTCAGCAGCACCAGGAGAAAGATGGGCGTGAAGAACCTGTGGGACATCTTGGATTCTTGCAAGAAAACCCTTCCCCTTCACCATCTCCAGTAAGTTCTTCACCCTGGCATTCTACTGCACACCCATCGTTTACTACTGTATAAATTAAAGATTTTTAATTTTGTTCGTAACTGATTGTGTGTATATCATTTCCTCTATTAACCCAAAAAAAAAGGAATAAGAGGGTGTGCGTAGATCTGTCTTGCTGGATGGTTCAGCTCCTCAAAGTAAACAAATCATATTGCGCCCACCAAGAAAAGGTTTACCTTAGATGTCTCTTCCATCGCCTCAGAGCTCTCATTGCTTTGAATTGCACCATCATCTTTGTTTCTGGTACAATACCCCTCTCTTTCTTCTCCCCTCTTCGATCTCTCGTAAACAACTTATGGCGAATGATAACAAATGCTTCGTGTTATAGATTCAAAGCAAAGATTTTTTGGGGTTAAGCTTTACAAGTAATGCTGAAAGAATACAGAGTGATGTCAATACAGACCTTTCATTTGTGATTATAGTAACTTGAAGTACCAAGTCAGTAGGCTCACTGCATTAAGTCTAAATAATCCAACTTTTGATACTTGATGATATGAACTGTCGAATTGCTATCCGTTTTGGTTTGGAATGTTCATATTACTTGGGGGAACATTTCAATCTCTTTCCTCACACTGATGTTTTTTTGCAAGATGGAGCAATTCCTGCCATCAAAACGGCAACTTACAGACGTAGATTAAATGTAAGTGGGAAAAGGTTTGTTTAGTTATATAACACTGTTTTGTTGTGCCCATTTACTATGTTATCAGTGTTTGTTATAACGCAGCTTTAAACGATGCAGCTTTCTCAGGAGGATCCAAATCTACCGAAACTTTCTTCAATTAAAAGAAATCGTGGGTCTGAATTTTCGTGCGTGATAAAAGAGGCCAAAGTTCTTGGGAAGGCACTTGGCATTCCTTGCTTAGATGGGTAAGGTTATGTCTTGGAAGAACATTCTTTTTCACCTTGACATAGCTGTGTGAATAAAAATCTGAAATGTTTATGCCTTTTATGGTCCATTCTTATCATATTATGGGACATTCTCAGGGTTGAAGAGGCTGAAGCACAATGTGCATTACTAAACTCGGAATCATTATGTGTGAGTATATGAAATTGAGTTACTACTGAAAAATCATTAGGCATCACTCTCTTGTTATTCTTTTCCTGTCATTTACGGTACCAAAGTATCAGTATGCTAACTTAGACTTTGTTACAATCATCAGGATGGATGTTTTACTTCAGATTCGGATGCATTCCTGTTTGGAGCGAGGACTGTGTATAGGGATATTTGCCTTGGTAAGATTAAAATATGTTGCGTTTCTTTGTTTAAGAGATTGTACCCAATCGGCTAAATGTAAATCATCAAATATTAGGTTTACTTCTCCTAATCTCCTATTGGGATGAGCTTTTAGGATGTAACCCCAGGTCTTAATTTAATAATCACCCACATTGTCTTTTAGTATGACAGCATACTAACACTCTTAAGTATTTGGAACTATTTAGGTGAAGGAGGCTATGTGGTTTGCTATGAAATGGATGATATTGAAAGAAAACTTGGGTTTGGTAGGAATTCCCTGGTAAAGTGTTCATCTTTTCTGTCTTTGGCAGTTATTTTGGCTTCCATAACTCTTCTTGTTCTCAGTCCTCACTCTCTTGAAGTTCTTTCGTGGAGAATTCTCAGATTCTAGTTGTGAATTCATTGTCATGTAACGTGAAAGCTATTCATAATCATTTGCACTGCTGCTTATTTTCCAGATTACTCTTGCTGTTATCCTTGGAGGGGATTACTCACAAGGAGTTCATGGGATTGGCAGGGTACATTGTCTTCCAATCTTTATTATATTTCTGTTTCTTAACATACTTGTTCTTCAATGGTTGAATCAGTTCTTGTATATGCATACAGGATTCTGCTTGTCAGATTGTTAAATCATTAGGTGACAGTTCTGTTCTACAACGGATAACAACCGAAGGATTATTATCTTTTGTAAAGAAGAGCAAAAAGTCAAGAACGTACGTGCAATCTGATGACAAAGAGAACTGTCCTTTTTATAAAGACGGCCCGAAAGGTTATTTCACTTTCTCTTCTCTTTTTACAGATCTTTGTCAACTAGGCGCCGTTTGGTAATATTTTTGTTTACTATTTTTTCGAGAGGAAAAAATACTAAAATGTAACTGAAAACTTTGCCAAACAAGCCCAACTCGGCTAATATATGCATCTCATATGTATGCATCAAAACATTTCTGTACGTAGGAAGTGAATGTGATTTACAAAGGGATAAAGAAGTGCTTCGAGTGATAAATGCTTATTTGAAACCTAAGTGTCATTCTGTGGACTCTGAGATTGTGCACAGGTAAACTTCTGTTATTCATTATTATGTAGTATTTGTTTATAGCATTACTGATGTGATGCTCATGGACTGTAAAATTTTTGCTTTTTTCAGCGTTCTTGCACTATATCCGTTTCAAAGAAGCGAGTTTCAGCAGATATGTGCAAAATACTTTGAATGGCCTCCTGAGAAAACAGGTAAATATCTGATCTTTAGTTCCATTTGGTACCCATTGCTGAAGAAGAAGTCACAAATCCTTTCTTGCTTGTGCCTTTTATATATGGCTCAGATGAGTACATCCTTCCTAAGATTGCAGAAAGAGAACTAAGGCGGTTCTCTAATCTTCGTTCTGCTTCCTCAAATTTAGGACTCCGAGTTTCTCTCAATGAGGTATCTCTACTTGTTTGTCTTGGTTGTGTTACTACAGAGTATTATAGTCCGTTTGACATTGCTGAATTGGCAGTGGAATAAGTTTGTGTTTGGTGAATAAACAAAGAAGCCTGCAAAACAGGCTCCTAGTTTTCGTGCATTACGTTTCGTATATGTTATGCCATTTGAAGTTCTTTCTTTGTTAAAATTCATGAACAGATGCCAATTAAGTGTCCTGTCTCTAGCATTGTCAAGGAAAGAAAAGCTCAGGGAAAAGACTATTTTGAGGTCTCTTGGGAAGCAGTTCAGGGACTAGAGACCTCCACAGTTCCAGCTGATCTTGTACAGAGGTGGCAAAAGATGATTACTTAAAAAAATAAATTTACTGAAAAATGCATTCTTGGGATAACAAGATGTTTTACCTAAAATTGCAATTGACACAAAACTTTTCTTCAAAAAAAATGGTTTTTTTTGTTTACATTTCAGTGCTTGCCCCGAAAAGATCTTGGAGTTTGATGAAAGAAGAGCTGAAAAGAAGAGCAAGAAGCCCAATAATCATCAACCAAGACGGAGAAGAGTAAAAAACATGTCCTCCTCAGGCAACGAAATCAATTCAAAGCTCCAAGCCCTCCTGCTGCAAATCGATCAAGAAAACGCAGCTGCCACAAAACAATCAATGCCAAACGAGGCTCTAGGTGGTGTAACACGGTTAAATCCAACGGGTAACAACCCACAACTCCACAAGACATTAGCAAGACTCGGATCATCATATGAAAATGAAGTGACTTCTGATCTCTCAAGTCCTCCACGGCCAAGCCATGGTCAAGAAAATGCAACTTCCATAAACCGATCAATGCCAAATGAGGCTTTAGAAGTGATTGATCTCTTGAGCCCTCCTCCTAAAGCTAGCCATGGTTTTGGAATCTTGAAGTGTCAAAATGATGATTGTGTGGATGTGATTGAGCTGCTAAGTGACTCTGAAACTGATATCTTTTCACCTGACCATATTAAGAAAGCAAGAGAACTGAGATCTTTCATAGCAAGTATAAGAGATGTTTCTTGAAGAGAAATCAAAACCTGCCTCTTTTTGTACATTATGTATCATTCATCTTTGTGTTCTTTGCCTAGCATATAAGTTAACACTCTTGTGTGGATTGGATGAAAAGCCCCCAAACATATGATCGACCACCAAATTTTGTATACGAGAGCCATGTCAGTCTCGATTGTGGTACATAATTTCATTTTTCATTGATCATTTAAAGTAGGAGGTTTCTATATTATCAAATTTTACGTTTGTGGTCCTTTATTTATGAGTATCTTTTTATTAATAGTTCTTTATTTGAGAGGGGAAAAAAGTGAGCAACAAAACTTTCTAAAAACAATTTTTTTAGACGAACGAAAAAAGGGTGAAATATTGATTTGGAATGGAAGAAGAAACAATTTAGTATATCCTTCAAAGACAAGGTAAAGATAAGATAGAAAATCTAAACAATCTACTTTTACACTATGCTTGGTTCGATAAGTTTGAAAGGAAAAAAGAAAAAAAAAGTAGTAAGAAAATAGTTTTGCTTGTTTGGTTAGAGGAAAAAACACTAGAATGAAAAGTGAAAATAACAAGCTTTTCACACTTGTGTGCATTTTTTCCCCAGCCTCTACAAACTTTTACTGATTCAGTGAAGATTAAACCTAAATGAAGTCTATTCCAATGGCTGGACAGTGGAAAGTGGTGCTTTATTTGTTCAGCAAGTCTTCATGCAGTGCTCAAGTTTCAATCAAAGGCATGGGATGTTAAAAGTTTTACAGCAAGTTTATATAGAGAGCAATAATATGGGGAGAATTGATCAAAATATCCAAGTGCATTACAGCAAGTATATAGGGAGCAATTCTACTCAGCTAAACAAAGGAATCATCATAACTCAGCTCAATCATAACTCAGCATTTCTACTCAGAATTGGATTTCACTATATAGTATTCAAAAAAGCAGCAATTCTCTCTGATAAATTATAAACTTCTGCAAATTTTCCATTTGTGCTAGGATAGCCACTCAAAAATGATGCTCTTCAAAACCTCAAGAAAATACTAGTATATCAACTAAAATCACAAATGCCGGCCAAGAAAATCCGGGTAGAAGTTTTTTTCATCACTCTTGCTTGGATGAGAAACTATGTTTTTATTGCACTGTTGTTTGGAGCAATATGTATCACTTGAAACTATCGACGACAATCTGCTCCAATTGCCTCATAGATTGTCTTATAACCATCCCTTTCTAAACACTTGGTAAGATCAGCCTAAAAAGATGGTATAAATTAAGTTAGGAATATACAAAACATTATACACATGTTAAAGCAACATTGCATAATGATAACGAGTAGCTAAAGATATCTAGCAAAAATGAATACTCCCATAGTTCTGCAAAAAAACCCATTTTTAATATTTTCGGTGATAGAAAAATCTCTGTTTGAGACGCTTAGCAATATACAAGTAGAGATATGTAGCAAATATTATAAACTACTATACTCCGTATTAATGTTTTTAATATGAAACAATTAAACACTTGGTACATACTCCAAATTTCCTATGTAGACAAAGGTTTAGTGTGAAATACTCCATGATATGGTGTCAGACATTGATGTTGAAGTGTGCAGAGTTAATTCTAATGTTTTACCCTCAACAAATGTATTCTACTGTTGGCCCTCAAGTTAATAAATTTACGATCTTCAACTACAGAAAATGTGCTACTTATACTAACACCAAATATGGTGACAAAATGCTCCCAGTTGTGTACCACATATGATCAATTTTAAAGAAGAGGCCCAAAAAAGATTTTAAAACCCCCTTCATTTTGACATTTTCTAACTAAATAAGGTAATTCTAGTTCTGTCTAGAGGCACCACATATTTATACTTCATGTATATTCACTTTTATGTAGTGCCTAAAGTTTTAATTAATAATTCATCCGTCCCAAGTTAAAGTTCCTGTTTACTTTCTCACGAAGTTCAAGAAAAAATGAAATTGTTTCTTTCAGATTTATGATATAAATTTTGATAAAATTTATACCCGTGCAACACACTAGTACGAATCTAGTTTATGGAGAGGAGAGAGAATTAATGTGGACTGCCCATTTCACTCTTTAAAAAGAATGGAAGGTGTACATAGTATGTACTCAGGTAGTTTTGTAATAGTGGTGGTGTAATTTGTTAACTAACATCTTTTTCTTATTCTCAAAACAAGCAAAGTGACATAACCTGGAGCAGCTTCCTTTTGTTCCCTTACTATTCTGAGTAGGGACTTTTTAGTTCGAATAGCTTTAGAGCTTTTACTACAATACTAAGATTATCAGAGGAGCCCAGGTAAGTACCACCCTACCACCCAAAACTTAACCCAAACCCACCCCGCCAGACCCTGGTCGCCGACCACAGCCTCACGACCTAGCCGCTAATTTCTCCTACAGCCCTAGGTTGCAGAACCGCTCCCCTCCCAGTAGCCTCATACTTTGACCCCTCCAGCCCTAGTTGCTGAACCCATTCCAACCCTCAGCCCTAGGCACCTTTCCAGTCCCCCAATATTGCCCAATCACCCGTTCGCCCAGTCCATCCACCCTGCCTCACCCCACACACCCCAGATCCCACCAACCAAAGCCCCTCACGCCATCACCCCACCCCCCGTCTACCCCAATCGTCAACTGATTGCCCATTCTTTTTTCTACTTTTTTTTCATACTGCCAAGAAGGTGACATATAAGAGGTTCATGGACTGTTGTGATGAGGAGGCGAGGGCGTCTCTGAGAGTGGCCTATAAGATTGCTCGTAAAGCAGCAAAATTGGAGGTTACAAGGGCAAAGAATGCAGCCTTTGAATGCATTTAGAAATTGGAAGAGCGGGGTGATGATAAGAGGCTTTTTCGGCTAGCTAAAGTGCGTGAGAGGAAGCCCAGAGATCTGGAGCATGTGAGGTCTGTGAAGGACAGTGATGGTAGAGTGTGGTTCGAAGCAACTCTAGTATCTAGCCGGTGGGGGGGGGGGGGTACTTCCATGGCCTTCTGAATGCGGGATGTGAAAGGAGGCTAGGTTTAGGTGAGTTGGGGCAATCAGAAAGGCATCAAGAATTTGGGTATTGTCGGCATATTAGTCAAGGAGAAGTGACGAGAGCCATACGTGGGTTGAAAAGTGGAAGAGCTTTGGGCCAAATGACATTCCCGTAGAGTTTTTGGAAGTTAGTGGGTTGGTTTGGGTAACCAAGTACTTTAATGTAATTTTTAGGACGGCTAAGATGCCTGATGAATGGAGGGAAAGTGTGGTAATCCCACTGTACAAGGGAAAGGGTGATATCCAAAGTTGCAATAATTATAGAGGCATCAAACTTCTTAGTCACACCATGAAGATTTGGGAGCGTATCATAGAGGCTAGGTTGCAAAAGGAAGTGTGCATTTCTGAGAATCAGTTTGGCTTAATGCCAGGTCAGTCAACCACAAAGGCTGTTCATCTCCCACGGAGGTTGACAAAAGAGTATAGAGCCAAGAAAATGAACTTGCACATGATGTTGAGGGATGCATTTACACTACAATAACTTGTAAAGTTTCACAATTTTTATATTAGATCTTGAGGGATGCATTTACACTACAATAACTTGTAAAGTTTCTTAAGCCACTTATATAACTTACATTTGGATTGTTTCATGCAAAACCCACTAGCGAATTCGAAGTTTCAAACATATTGATTTTGTACCGCCTCTCTACTTTCAAGCAGGGGTAAGGTCTATGTACACACACCTTCCCTAGACCCTACTTTTTTGGGATTCTACTGGGTTGTAGTCGTTGTATTACATTGACTTTATTGCAATTAAATTAAGTCCCACACAATTTTAGATTGTCGTGAAACTTTATGAGGATGATCAATGTGTTAGCAACTTTCAAACTACCCGTCAGGTTTGAATGAAAACAATAAAAGTGAAAGAAAAAAACGTGTAAGCCATAGTGTGTAAACGGACCCTTCATCATATATCTTTTTAATTTTTTAAATTTGCTCATCTATACATATTAATGTTGGTATTATGTTTTAAGAAGGGGCTCATTAAGTCCTTCCAATTTTTCAATTGCTATACAATGTTCATACAATCTAGGACAATAAAAAAAATTGATAAACATTTTTAAAGCTAACCAAGTCTATTTTGTTAACAAGGCCAAATATGAAACCCCTAGCAACTTTTTTTTTTGAAGATATGGGTATATTGAAACATCACTGTGCACATGTTCCAAAAGTAGAATACCTTTATCTTGGGTATAAGAGCAGGGCCTCCGTATGCAAAGGCTGTATAGAGCTGCACAAGAGTGGCACCAGCTCGTATTTTCTTGTATGCATCTTCCCCGCTGAAATTCCATTTACAACCAAGGATTAAACGAGTATATAGATTCACAATATATGCAAAAAATCAGGAACTTTGGTTACCTGCTAATACCGCCACATCCAATTAAAGGAATCCTTCCCTGGCAAAAAGTTTTAAAAAATTTCTATTATCTATGGCATTGGATTAGATTGACAACTGCCCAATGGACGGACAACAGGTGCTAGTACTTGCTAAATGCTAGAATAGATAAATACTTCAAAGAATCTAAGATTCTACTCGGCAAGAAAAACTTCCAAATCCCAATGCATGTTGGGTTGACAAGAAAACAATTAACAATTGCTTATAAAATGCAGTTCATATATAAAAAATGTGATCTACAAAATAAGAAGCAGACCTTTGTTAGAATATACATCTCCTTGAGAACATTTGTAGATAGCTCGTAAAGCGGCTTTCCACTCAAGCCACCAGATTCTTGAGCCATGGGGTTCGTTTTGACAGTTTCAGGTCTTTGAATGGTTGTATTCGATATAATCTACAAGCATTGAGAAAAATTACCAGAACTCCAGAAGATTAAGAGTATCTATCCAGAGAAATATTTTGAGGAATAGTTTTGTAAATACACCGGTCAAAACGGACTTTCAAAAAACTATTTTAAAAATTAGTAGGTAACACCTGCTCATTTTTTCTCGCTTATAAGTAGCTTATAAATCAGCTTGTAAGCAAGAGAAATATGTCATCAGCTGACTTATAAGTTAAAAACAACTTATACGCAATTTTGACTAACTTATAAGTACAAACAAATGCCCACAAAATGACAACACAGTGAAGTGCCACTACTGGGGTTTAGAGAGGGTGGATGTAAGCAAACCTACCCCTACCATAAAAAGAAAGCCAGAGAGATTTTAGGAAAGACCCTCGGCCCAAATAAGTATAGAGATATGTTGGAACAATTAACAAAAGACGGGTTTGTAAAGGTAAAGCAACTAAACAATAAAAAAGGACGAGCAAATACCAGCACAATACAAAATGACAACTTGAATTATTAAAACCACGCCTACAATAAACTATTGGCGTGTAATTTGAGATTCTTCATCATACATATTAAAAGAGAAAGCAATTAATATGCCAACATACAAAGAATGATGCATGCTTAACTTAATGAATGACCAATTTCCACAAATGGAACAGGGGGGGTCCAATGTAAGAGCAGCTTCAACAATGCTAAGTTAAGGTCAGCCTTTCATTGCTATTCAATAGATACTACTCCATCTGGTCCCATTTTGCAGGAGTTAGATCCCCCTTTAGTTTGTTTCAAAACAATGATCACTTACCGTTTCTTAACTTATCCTTTTACCCATAATTTCAACCTTTTTGGGTGGCCCTTGGTGGGCTGAAGTTTTCTCTTATTCGTCTTTTCTAAAAGGGTACACTTGTAAACTAACTAACATCACTTTTAGTCTTCTAAAGTGTACCAAACTCAAGTGCATTTTACTTTGTAGGATGAAGGGATTCGAAAAATAAGTCTTAAGCATAGTGCCATCTCGCATAGTTGTTAAAGGTGTGAGATCCACTAAGGGGAAAATGGGCATAATGCCTCGAAGCACGAGGCGCACACCTCAAGAACATGATGCCGAGAAGGAGACAAAACAATTAAAATATTCTATATTAATGATGCAAACTATCTGAACACGTGTAGAACACAACCGCAACAAAAATGAAGTCTTAAGTACTAAAGATGATATATATTAATAATTTAAGTAATTTACCACTTCAAAATTAATCAAACAAGTTTTACCACACTTCCAACTTTAAAAGCTTTAGGAACAAAAAATCTTTTAGCAACACGTGAATTTCAAAACCAAAGCAAATATGACTATGCTGAATTTTAAAGCAAAAGTTAACACTTAGAGAGAGAGAGAGAGACCAAAAAACAAGAAACTATAATAAGAAGGCAAGAAGAAGAAGATGAGGACGAATGAGTGTGCTTGTAGCAGAGGTGGGAGGTAGCACACCTGAGAAATAATGGCAGAGCTGAGGTTGATCGAAGAAGGGATACAAGTAGTAATCGGTCAATTGGTGAGTGTACACACCTCCTAAATTTTTTTAGGTTTTTTAATTTAAAAAAATGCATGGCCCCTTTCAGAACTATGTCTCCACGTCTATGGTCTAATGCCATATTTGTTTAATTGCCTTCAATTGGATCTTAATAATGTTAATTAACATCATAAATGTTGCCCCTGGTCCATTTATCCTATGAAATTATGGCATGATGGAACCATAAGTGCCACTTGCCATTTGTACAAGAAGAATTGCAACAATCATGACTTCACAACTTCAAACCTTTGGTCTTCAGATGATCCCATCCAAATCTTCTTTGTTCCTTTCAAAGAGAAACTAAATGGGAAGTGAAAGATAGGGAAATCCTCTATCCTCTCACATTTGTGCACAACTCCTATTCCCAGGATCCTAAAAAATCCATCATTCCATAGCCTCTTGGACTTATTTCTTAACACAAAAAATCCTTTATGGGTTGCATGAATAATTGAATACTACCTCACCATTAAAACAGTTACATATTGGAGCCGTTCCAACATAGACTCCAAATAAAATAACATTTTCCTTATATTTTATACACCTTAATCTTGAGATAAACTTATAAACAACCTATTTTTTGGTTTTTCCTACCTAAATAACACTAATATTCCCTGGTAATCTGGTATTATTCATTTATTACCCTTCATGTGGGAAAAATTGTGTAGCTAAACATCAGGCACATACACTCATAAAATCCACACATGAAAATATTTAGGATAGTCAAACAAGACAAATTATGAATAACATGTCTTGTTTTTGTCTAAAAACTCGCTTTGGCGATAATGGACTCACTTGGCCAAAATTCCTACTCAATGATAGGCTGCATCTTAATGATATTATGATCTTCCAATACTCATATGGCCAGAATTCACTTACACTGTGTTTGGTCCAAGGAATTTGGAAGGAAAATAAAAAAACGATTTTCTCTAATTTTCCTCACCAAAGTCGGTTTTCCTTCCACTTAGTACATTTGCCTTCTCATTTTCTTTTTCTGCCACTTTTCCTTTCTTTTCCTCTCTAACCAAACAAAAAAAAGTGTTTTCCACTTCATTTCCTTTTCCCTTTCAAATTCCTTGAACCAAACATAGTGTTAGAGAAGGATTAACAAGTGAACAGAGAGACAAAACATTGTTCGACAGTAATTGAACAGATTGTTTTTCTCATGTCTGGGATAGATATTCTACAGTTCAGGTCAAGGGTATTCATTAGTCTTTGATTGAAGGAAGCCATGGATGAATTTGACGAAAAGAAAAAGCGAAGAGTTCCAACATTAGTCGTATAGTGAACAGTGATTTATCATTATAATAGTCATTGTTTAATTTTAATGTCCATGTATTTTTAGTGTGTTGGCCGAAACTTCCTACGGAAATTAGGCTAATATTTTGTGTTTTCATACCTAATCCATCACTGTGATGATTGGGAATCTTATAGTGTAAACTAGAGTTCATGCTTGGGAAATAAAACACAATGAAATTTGAGAATTAATATTGTTTTGCTCCTTGAGTAAAATCCTAAATTAGTGTGATGATACTTCATCACCATCCTCGATTTCTCTTAAGTGCAAATGTTAGTATCTAGTCTTTAATTAGGAGTGCTTCTTGATTAAACTATAGACTTAACCCTAAGTGAGATTTGAGTGTGCAATATCTCATACTCGAACTAAGTTTATCCCTTAACAAGAAAAATGCCTAAACATATTTCTCTTATCTAAATTCGTGCACAATACTCATAGTTATCGCGGCGTCGCCTAGGCGTCCAGGTGCCCTTCTACTCTCACCATGAGAGCTCGCCTCACCTTATTTTGCATACCTCAGGCCTAGGCGTCGCCTTGGCCTCGCCTTTCCTCGACTAGGCGTCCCCTTAGCCTCCCCTTGGCTCCCCTAGTCCAGTAATTTTGTTTTTTTACTCCACTGCTTTATTTCTTTAAGTGTTTTATACCCCCAGCTCCAGTGATTTGTTTTTTTAATGCTTTATAAATTAGTTTATTTGCAAATTAATGTTTTTTTCTTTTATCTTCCAAATTAATACTCGGTGCTTGATTTTTTAAATTTTAAACGATTAATTTATTACCAACTTAAGTCAGTAACACTTTTTCTCAACTTGGTTTTTTTATGAAGAAAGTACTTACTTTGGTAGTTAAACTTTGATGTATTAGAAAAATTTAAACTTTACCAACTACAATATATAATTTGATATATTTATACAAGTGTTTTTAATGTATAGCAATTCTCCTCTATTATGTGTCGCTTAATTGTCGCCTAGGCGGTCACCTAGTTGACTAGGCATCCTGGCGGTATCCCAGCACCGCGCCTTGACTTGGTGCCGCGATAACTATGACAATACTTATCACCCCTACCCCCACATACAATGACAAAATTGATCTTTTTGTTTCTTATGCACTTCTTATAAACATATCCAATCATCTACCATTTTGTTTCATACCACATAAAATTTTGTTAACTTCTTTTCCTCATAGAATCTAATGCCTCATAACTCCAATACTTTTAACATTCTACCTTAGTCTCTTGCAAACCAGCATAAACAGGCTGTGCTCTAAGAGAAAATGAAGCTAAGTGCTTAACATTCAAAGTTAAAGAGGCAGCAAAAGTTGTCTAGGAAAATGTACCAAACCATCCACCCGTAGAGCAATAGCAACCTGCAAAGACAGGAAACCAATTAGAATCAAATGTCATAGAGAAAGCATGTGGACAATGAACTTGGGCATACTGCTGCAATATCTTCTAGATCTTGCTTGGACAAGTCTGGAGCAATTTTAACAAGCAAAGGAGGTGGGCCTTCTTCACCCCACTGCATTTCATCTCGTGCTGCTTGTACCTATTAAATTAGGGATCAATTTTAAATCACCTTTGTAAGAAGTTCCTAACTAAAGTAGAACAGATGATAGGTCAGAAAAATGCAGAACAATAATAAAATAATCAAACCTTCTTCACAAGGTCTTTTAACTGTTTTCTTCCCTGAAGTTGGCGTAATCCAGGAGTATTTGGTGAGGAGATGTTAACCACCTAAAACATGCTTACAAGTCACAACCCAAAAGATAGCATGAAAGTATGTAGGTTTGGGATTGTGCAAGAATGAATAATCTAAAAAGACAACAGAATCCCAACATATCAAAATACAAGTAAACTAATATGGGCAAGGGTGTTGGAGAGTTAAGTAATGAGGTGCACCCATGATGCAACTGTGCACCTGTATAATAGGTATATGGAGGAACCGATAGTAGAAGAAGAAAATGAAATGAAAATTCATACTTCGTATAAATTTACCAGATAGTCAGCAAACTGGGATAATGTATGAACTCCTTGCACGTAATCTGCAGCAGCATCTTCTGTCGTCTTATTCTTTCCCAGATTAACCCCCAGAATTCCAGGACCAGCTTTCCCTCCCAGCACAATTTCATCCCCTGCTGGAGCCAAAGTACTAGAAGTTTCCATCTTTCTCTTACCATGTTGAGCACCTAACCGCTTGGCTACAGCTACAATTCCTTCACTATTGAAGCCACACCTATTAATTATAGCACTGCAAAGAAAACTGAAGCGCATCAAGATCTGAGTCATAAAAAAACACTTGTTATGATACACAAGAAATTTACAATGCACTGATAAAAAAATAATCAAAACGACATTCGTGAATAAGGTAAATGTAAAGATATGAAGACTTTTCTACCCTTCCTCTCTCAGTCTGAAGATACGAGGCTTTGGGTTGCCTTCCTGGGGAATGGGTGTTACCGAGCCAACCTCCACAAAGCCAAAGCCTAATCCGAGTAAACCTTCAACAGCCTCAGCATTCTTGTCAAAACCAGCTGCAAGGCCTATAGGATTTGAGAACCTTCTCCCCCAAACTTCAAGGCCTAATTCAGTAGGATCCGCTCTTTTCTCAATTGGAACCCACCCACGAGCAGCAGCTGAAACAGCCAATCTGTGGGCTACTTCTGGATCCAGAAGTGCAAAAAATGGATTTACAAGTTTTGTTGCTGAGAATAACCAGCCACTGCACAAAAGATTTCAAGATGAGTTACTTCTTGTTCATATCTTCATGATAGGACAAAATACAGAAATTACTTACGAACACATTTGCAATGCATGTTGTAAATGCAACACCAGATGTACTGTCAGTGATTATGGTTTAAAAGTTTTAATCTAATACCAGAATGTTTCTTCATCCACCGTACTAGCATAAGCTCCTCCTGCTATCAGCAAACCAATGGTAGCTCCAGTAAATAACCTTCCCTGAAGTTTATGAAGAAAAACACATAAATGCAAAACAAAAAAATCTAAGGAGGAAAAACAACATTAGAGAGTGCTCTGAGATGGTGAAACAATTTGTTACTTTCTCAAAAGCACACTTCAAAAAGCTTAGAGTTTTTTCCGAATAAATTACAGAAATAGGTTCTAAAAACACGTTCCATCATCTCCGATGGAACCAAAGGTTCATTATTTTTTGGCTTTGTTTATGATGGAATAAAGAAAAATGGCTCTTTAAACTGCTTGAGCTTCTTTTTCAATAGTAAAGTAGGAGCTAGTCAATGCAACTTTCCATGCTCATGATCATCCAGAAAGAGTCGCTCTATGTTTTAAACATAGGTGTCAAACTGCATACATCCGACCCCCCTTATCCTGCAATGGGTGGGAGCCTTTGAGGCACTAGGGTAATGTTGTTGATGTTGGTTCTAAAAACACAAGTTGAGAGGTGCATTTGAAACAGAGAAACGGAACTTACAATTATACAAAGTACCATATAACTTGAAAGTAGATCAAGTGATCAACTAAAACCTTAACAAACAAGAATACAAGAACAAGCTCATAGCATACTGTGACCCCCTAAGTACTGCAAACCTGGGATGGCTTCATTTCGTTTTAGCCATCTTGAACTACGAATACCCTTTCTCACTTATTAGAAACCGGAAATACCTTCACACAATCTTTGTAAATAACCTATAATACCCTCATCTCCTTCGAGAATCAAGATAAAATTTTACTAATTTTTTATCTTATCGTTGTCCTTGATTTTAGCTTCCTCCACACTGCCAGCCTCCAAAACTCCCACTCCACAAGTATGTGCACAATGTTTTTTTTCATGGTTGATTTCCATCATCTCTGATGGAGCCAAAAATTCACTATTTTTTGGCTTTGGCGTGTGATGGAATAAAGCAAAATGGATCTCTAAAATGTATGCACTTCTTTAATTAATGAAGTAGTAGTTAGTCAATCAATGCAACTTTCGATGCTGAGTTGGGGCTCTCTTTGGAAACAACCCCTCTACTTTTGAGTAGGGGTAAAGTCTGCTTACACACACCCTCCCCAAACCCTACTCTTGTGGGATCCAACTAGATTGTTGTTATTGTTGTGGTTGATTGCATAAGTTCAAAATCACAATCACCATCATAAAAAATTCACATTCCTGTATTCCCATGGTTGATTATGAAATAGAAAATGCAATAAGCTCACTAACACCAAATGAAAGAATAAGAATCCATGATTTTCCCATGTTTGATTGCGAAATAAAAATGCAAAACAACTAATGAAAGAAAGAAAATGCATGCGTGCAAGAATAAATTAGCAGAAAAAAGAGAATAAAGTGTGAGCAAAACACCTTTTTGGAGGAATGAGGAAACCGGGGAGGCGGAGGAGGGGGAAGATTGGCAGAAGAAGAAGTGCAGTAATAGTTTCTGGGTAAAAATCCATTTGGTTTAAGCTTCCTGCAAAAGCTCTCTCTAATCAATCCCGACACAATTCTTGCTCCACTCATTTAATTTCTCTTCTTCTTCTTCTTCCAAACCTATGGGAATCACTAGCAGATGAAATTTCAAAACTTTCACGCTGAAAACAATGAAATTTATTGTTATCGCGGACAGAATCAAAGAAATTGTTTGATGAAAGAATATGGTATTAGAAAAATCGTGGTTAGACTGAGCGTTGCAGAGAAAAAAAGTTTAATGTAGTTCAACTCAAAGGAGGGGTTTTACGGTGTGTTTGGATTGAGATAGGTAAAGTTTTATTAGGTAAGTAATGATAGATAATTGAAGGTAAGTGATTGAAGTTAGGTAAATTAAGTTATAAGTTGAAAATTTGTGTTTGGATACTCCCTCCGTCTCACTCTCTTTGTCCACTTACCTTTTAGCACACCATCCAATGCACTTCTTTAATCCATTTTATCTTGTAATTTGTATATAAAAAAATTATAGAAATTATATATTAATAATCTATATATTAATACAAATCAAACAAGATCACACATGACTATATTTAGGCTTACACATTGAGAGAATTTCGGCAGATCCTTCCAATTTTACCCAGAGCTTCGAGAGAGGAAATTGTAGGTGCTACGGTCAATTCCTCATATTTGTGGTCGTACTGTAAAGTTTATACGTTGACCAGGAATATGAGACTGCATTCATCCATGTCTTCTAGCGCAGATAGGGACACACAAACTTTTTCTGATTGGATAATCAAAATGGGTAATGGAAAGCTAGGTCACGTGATGGATGGAGTTAGTTACAAAATCAAATGTTCGGGATTCCCAAACAACAAACAGTCTTGAAAAAGGGTACTGATTATGCTATTGAGGAACATTGATCAAACATCTGGATTGTGTAATGGGACAAGATTAATCGTACAAGAGCTTCGAAATAATGTTATCGATGTAATTGTGGTTTCGAGAAATCGAGTCGGGGAAAATGTTTACATCCCTAGAATGAATTTGGTACCATCTGATCCTGGACTACCATTGAACTTCGAAAGAAGACAATTCTTGATTGCCTTATGTTTTGTTATGACTATCAACAAAAGTCAAGGTCAAATATTGTCATTTCTGAGATTTTTTTTAATCAAGTCGGTATTCACACATGGTCAAATTTATTTTGTTGTTTCATGCTTGAAGACAAAGACAGGATTAAAGATAATGGTTCTCGATGACAATGGAAACCCTTGCAACCATACCAAAAATGTTGTATATCGTGAAGTCTTTCAGAAAATTTGGTATTAAAATAAACATTGTTAAGTCTGCATTCAGTTCCTCAAATATTATTTATTTTACTTTGGTATTTTTCATCTGTAGTATTAAAAATCATGCGAGCAATATATTTTCTTTATTCTGGAAAATAAATTTCATTGAAATAATTCAAAATCAACATAAATTTTGTTCGATCCCGTGCATGACACGGGTCAGAATACTAGTCTATATGTAAAAGAGAGTTCTTTAGTTGTGGTAAAGACATGTGGCATATGACATGACAAATTTTTTATCCACATGGCATAATGTCATTATTTTATTGGTCCACATGGCATTTATTAGAATATTTTTTATTTAATAAACTATTCATGATTATTGTATTTAATTACAATAAATTTGTTTATATAAAACTTTTCATCTTCTAATTGTTATACTAATATGTCTTTCATCATTTTAAAATATATATTTTAATTTCTTATTATTTAATTACTTTCTTCAAAGGTTATATATACTTTTTTAAATTTTTAAAAGAAAACACTTTCTATGAATTTTTATACCATTTTCTCTTTTTATTCCATTTTAAAAATATAGATTTATATGAAATATAATACATCTGCATCATTATACATCATTATATGAAATATAATACTCCGTACTTCCGAGTAGAGGCAAGGTCTGCGTACACACACCCTCCCCAGACCCTACTGTAGTGGGATTCAATTGGGTTGTTGTCGTTATTGTATTAAAAATATTATACTACCTCCGTCTCATTGTCTTTGTCCAGTTTTGACTTTTGGAAATGTTCATCTAAGCACTTTGACTCATCAAATTCTCTCAACGTGTAAGCCTAAAAATAGTCATGTGTGATCTTGTTTGATTCGTCTTAACATATAGATTATTAATATATAATTTGTATAATTTTTTAATATACAAATTACAAGATAAAATGGATTAAAGAAGTGCATTGGATGGTGTGCCAAAAGGTAAGTGGACAAAGACAGTGGGACGGAGGAAGTATTTAGTTGTTAAAAATTACGGAGTATATATATGTATATGCACATATTTAGTATATCACCATATTTTCTTATTAGAACCTTTCAAAAAAATAATTACGGAGTATATAAAGTACCGTATATAAAAGTCTATCTATGGATATAATGAGCACTCCGTATAATCTCTTGACAAAGTGCTACTATATCAAGTATGCCTTTTATAATCATTTTTATAATTTCTTAATAAAAAAATGAGACACAAAAAAAAATTAGATGTAATCTTTTTAAAATTATTGGGGTACGCCGAATTGATTATTAGTTAAAAGTCGGGTTCGGGTCGGGTTCGGGTTTTTTGTTGGAATGTCGGGTTCGGGTCGGGTTCGGGTTTTGGCTTAAAAAGTCGGGTTTCGGGTCGGGTTCGGGTTTCGGTTTTTAAAGTCGGGTCGGGTTCGGGTATAGTACAATCCGACCCGAACCCGACCCGTTGTCATCCCTACTTTAAACTATTATATATAAATTTTAGAGCATAGTAATTATTGTTAAAATATATTTTTTTTTCAAAAAAAAATATTGTATCTAATAATAGTCTAGCTACAATAAAATATCATATCCAAATATCTAAAAAAACTTATAATGCATGTCATATTATTACGGAGTATTAAAAAATTAAAATAAATACAATTAAATTTTAATTCATATAATGTTTATATATTAGTTGAACTTTTAAAAAAATATACAAAATGTTATTATAATTCTTAAATAGTCATACATAAATCTGTGTTCAATATTTTATTTCATACACAAAGATGACAAAATAAAACAAAAAATTCAAACTTTTCCTTAAAAACTTAGAATACAATTTTCTATCAAAATTATAAATTTAATTAGTCAAAGTATAAAATAATAGGAGTCATAAAAGAAATCAATGAATACATCGTTCCCTCGCATACCACGATATCTCCAAAAATGAAATGCCTAAGAAAGTTGTTTAGAAAGAGTTAATGTATTATCTTTCATATGTACATGCATATATAATATTTATGTATTCCATCAATAAACATTGTGATTGAACAAATTTAAGAATTATTCTCTTATTTATTTAATGTGATTTTTATTTTTTAATATAATACGGAGTAATAATTTTATAGCTATATTTATACAAAAGTATGCTAGCCCGTGCGAATCACGGGATAAAAACTAGTACTTGTGTAAAATTGAGCATGCCATTATAATTTTCAATCTCAGCATGGCAAAAAAACAATACAAAAAAATAGCATATTTCTATGAATATAAAAAAACAGAAAAAACCAAAACAAGCTTCTTCAACAAACATAAAAAACAGAAAAACAAGACGGCAGAAAAAAAGCAAAAACAAATAAACAAAAAAAACAGACAAAAAACAGCAAAAAATAAACGGCACAAAAGAAAATTGAAAGAACTGAAAAAAAAAACAGCAAATTTCAATATTTCACAAAATAAATGTAAGAAAACGTGCTGGATGGGGGAAGAACTCTTAACCCGCATATCTCAAAAAAATGAATAAACAAAGAATTGGAAGATGAAGGGAGATGAAGAACCTGCGTCGCTGGAAGAGGAGCTGGAAAGCAGCGGGAGATGAAGATCGGCGATGGGAGAGGAAAGCGTCCAAAAAAGGGTTTTAGGCATCCCGTAGCATGAGCAAAACAGTTGGATGTGTAGGACAAATGAGATTAGTTTGATTTTTTTTAACGGCCTAATAGCTCTAAATAGCACCTTTTTCGATACTTACTCCTAAAATATCTATGATTTCTAAAAGTAACGTCTAATCGTCTATACCCCTCCACCGGATTTTTTGTGCCGCGTGACTCATACGCTCCGTTGATGGGCTGGAAATTTGATAATGGAGAGCATTGGTGCTCCATTTTCAAACCATAAGGGGCTACCATGCGATTAGTTTATTTTATTATGACAAAAATGTCCTTCATCCAATGAATTTTATTTTTTTCAATGTTCCTTACAACGTAAATGATTTTTTTAGAACATTAAAAGTGTCATTTTTTTATTTTTAAGACGGTGACATTTTCTCATGTCTATAATACTTTTTATCTTATTCAGTTTTTCATTTTTTTTTGTATTAATTTTTTCTTTTATTGTATTTCATTTCCTATTCTTTATTTACATGTTTCAGTTTTTTATTTTATATTGAAAAAGCATAAGAAATGAATTTGAGATCGATATAGTTTATGTTACTTTTTTTATATCATTTATGAAAACATTATTAAAAATTGAAAAGAAATTTTTGAAAAATCCTTATGAAAACAAGGAAATAATGAAATGAAAATAGAAAAAATAAAAAAAAACTACATTAAAATGAAAAAAACTACTTTAAAAAAACTACATTTTTAACATAGTTTTTTTTTCATTTTTTTCTATTTTCATTTCATTATTACCTTGTTTTCATAAGGATTTTTCAAAAATTTCTTTTCAATTTTTAATAATGTTTTCATAAATAAATGATATTAAAAAAAGTAACATAAACTATATCGGTCTCAAATTCATTTCTTATGCTTTTTCAAAATAAAATAAAAAATTGAAACATGTAAATAAAGAATAGGAAATGAAATACAATAAAAGAAAAAATTAATACAAAAAGAAATGAAAAACTGAATAAGATAAAAAGTATTATAGACATGAGAAAATGTCAACGTCTTAAAAATAAAAAATGACACTTTTAATGTTATAAAAAAATCATTACGTTGTAAGGAACATTGAAAAAAATAAAGTTCATTAGATGAAGGACATTTTTGTTATAATAAAATAAACTAATCGCATGGTAGCCCCTTATGATTTGAAAATGGAGCACCAATGCCCCCCATTTATCAAATTTAGCCCATTAACGGAGCGTATGATTCACGCGCCATAAAAAAATCTGAAGGAGGGGGTATCCAGCTGATTTTAGAAACTATAGGGATTTTAGGAGTAAGTATTGAAAACATGGAGGGTTTCGGTGCCTATTTTTCAAACCAAAGGGGGGGGTTTAGAGCTATTAGGCCTTTTTTAACTCTCAATTAAATGGTTTGTTTCGATTACCATTTTGACTAACGTCATTTTTAATATTCTCTCCATCTATTTACAATTTCTTTATTTTCATTTTTTGTTCGTCCACCAATTTCTTCAATTTTTTACTTTCTCAGAAGCACGATTCAAAGAACTTAGAGTTTTTCCCAAATAAATTATAGAAATAGGTTTTAAAAACACATTTCATCATCTCTGATGAAACTAAAGGTTCATTATTTTTTGGCTTTGGTTATGATGGAATAAAAAAATGGCTCTTTAAAGGGCTTGAGCTTCTTTTTCAATAGTAAAGTAGGAGCCTAGTCAATGCAACTTTCCATGCTCATCATGGATCATCCGAAAACAGCCGCTCTAGTTTTAAACATAGGGGTCAAACTGCATACATCTGACCTCCCTGATCCTACAATGGGCAGGAGCCTTTGAGGCACTAGGATAATGTTGATGTTGTTGGTTCTAAAAACACAAGTTGAGAGGTGATATATCCTTCGTCGTCGCCACCTAGTTTTGGTTCGCCACCTCCTCCCCTTCTCTGTTGTCATACTCCACTCCGTCGCCGCCTCCACTCCTATGCATAACTCCAAGCTTTTTTTCTTTTACTTTGTTTAAAATCATAATTTTATTAATTATTTTTGTGTTTAATATATTTGCATTTTTTATTATCCTCAAAAAAATATGTGCATTATTATACGGAGTAATAATTGTTTTTGTCTTTCAAAGAAAAATTATTTTTGTGTTTAATTTTCACAATTATTTTTGTCTTTCAAAATTGGTCTCACTTTATACATACATTATAATAAACCATGATTTTTTTAATAGATTTCAATTTTTTCAATGTTACAACATGTGCATTTTTTTCTTTATTAAAAAGTATGTGCATTATTATAAATTTTGTGTTATCTTTTCAACATAAAATTATTCTAAATTATATGGTAATATCTCAATATTTAATTGTGCTTGCGTTCGTGAACTCTTTGATGCTATATGACGTGAGATGTTTTTTTGTAAAAATAACATATACCGACCGACCTAGATAGCCGTTTAAAATTTACTCATCTGAAATAAATTTTGAATAACTACAAGTTCGGAGGTGTTCTTGAACTGTTTTCCTCACTTAAGTGGTGAATATATTTATTTTTATTTGTTCTATCATTTTTATTTGAATTTTCTGAAACACATTCTTTGGGTGCATATGTAACTACATTACATTGTGCACTTGGAGTAGTATTGGGAAATGCTGCTGAAATTTTGATATATCAAAGAAAATGAAATGCATTTACTAGTGAGAGTGGCATTTCAAGAATGGATTAGAATGAAGTAAAGAATGGTCATTTGTATAATGAAAAAATGCTGCCGGATTTTTGTTACATCATAATAAATGAAATATTGTGTTGCCTGTATTTGTTATATCTTTCTATATTATATAAATGTGAAAGAGGGTTAGGTACCCCTTAATATTATGCACCTTTTCCAAGACCTGGCAAAACTGACCCGGACCCGATAACCCGAACTGAATAACCCGGAACCGAACCCGATTTGACCCGAAAACTGAAGAACCGAAATAGAACCGAACACCCGAAATGATCCGAACCGAACCGAACCCGAACTGAATGTAGTCAGACCCGATTCAGACCCGAATCCGATTAAACCCGAACCGATTAAACCCAAACCCGGTTAAACCCGAACTCGGTTAAACCCGGAACCGATTAGACCCAAACCCGATTAGACCCGAAATTGATCAAATTCATTAATATTTCATTTATCAAATGAATTTGGAGAAAACGAATTACCTATATATTTTTACATATGTTGATGTGTTTCTAAAAAAACATATTTAAATTATGAATGCAAACCATGTAACTACATTCATGTACAAATCTTTTACTTTGCATTTTATAACTTAAGTTAAAATACTTTTGTATTTTTATAGAAAGTATATAAAAATTATAGTTAATTAAATTAACTAAATTTATTATGTGATTTATTCATTTATTAGTATGTATGTGTTTACATTATACTTGAACTAATATAAATATAAACTGATATAAACTCAAATCTATATAAACCCAAATCAATACAACTCGAAGTGATACAAACCTGAACCGATATAACCCGAACCGATACAAACCCGAACCGATATAAACCCGAACCGATATAAACCCGAACCGATACAAACCCGAACTGATACAAACCCGAACCGAAACCGAAAACCAATCAAACCGAAATAAACCCGGAACCGAACTGACCCGAACCGAACCGACCTGAACCGATTATAACATATATCCGAAAGAGACCCGAACCGAAAAGACCCGAACCGGAACCGAACCGATTGACCCGATTGCCAGGTCTAAATTTTCATCCAAAAATATATGTACCGTTAGTTATCTTTAATCCCTTCATTCTTTAATTCACAATTATAGAGATGCTTTATAGCCTATACACCACATACAATAGTAGAGTATTATTATTATTATTAGAAAAATTACTCAGAGTAATCCCAACTTTATCTGGTCTTTCAAAAATAATCTCGCATTTTATTATGTTACATAATAATTTTAACTCTACTAAAGTTTGCGCGTTTTGGGTTGGCGTTAAGTTGCAAATAACGGGTAACGGAAACAACATTTTTTGCATAACGAATCGAAGCTGGGATTATTTTTGATAATTTTTAAATTTTTCTTTTTGAAATTTTCATTTAAATTTTAAAAACTACATTCTACATCCTTTTCTCTTTCTTTTTTAATAGATTAGTCTTACTTTAGAAAAAATAAAAAAAGATATACAAAATAACGAAAATGAGAAAAATAACTCAGACCATACAAAATTAATGAAATAAAAAGGTAAAAAACAAAATATAAGGCAATCAACAAAATTAATCTAAAACTAGTAATAAACAAAATAAAATCATATGGTGTGGAGAGTTCTAACATTTTACGCAGTATACATAGTATTAATATACTACTACTTATTTGTTGAAAGAACATGTAAATTTGGAATTATTCTATATAATTTCTCCTAACAATAAGAAGAAGTTGTACATTAATAACCTGTATAGTGCGTAAAATGTTAAAATCCACCACTCCATATATTTTGAATTTATTTCTTACCAGTTTCAAATAAATTTCTATTGATTATCTTTTTTTTTATTTTGTATAGTATCAACAATTTTATTCATTTTTGTTATTTTTTATCTATTTTTTATTTTTATCCAAAATTAAACTAATCTTTAAAAAAAAGGATGGAGGTAGACAATTATTTTAAAAATTAAAATGAAAATTCCAAAAAAACAAGCGGACACGATGATTGTTATTATAATTGTTATTATAATTGTTATTATAATTCAGAATTAACTCCCAATATGCCCCAAGTACAGAGTGTAATTATTATAATAAATGCTAATAATTCTAAATTAACCCCAATATATGACCTAATGACATTCTCCAGACACATCAAACACTTACTCCGGTGCAATGAATGCTATTAGCGAACACAATGACAGTTTAATTTTGTTTCCTACAACTTTCAGCTACGTATCTACCGTTTATCTTTTTAGTATATTTCATATTACAGAGATATTGAAATGATATAAAACTATGATAAAGTTATACTTGTACCTATTTCAAATTTGAGTCTCGTCTTAATCTCTTAAAAGATAGTCATCACTAGCAATTTAAAAATTTGTAAGATCATCTAAAGAATTTCACAAAATTTATTATACACCTTTTGACTCTTAACTCGATGTGATTTGGATGTTGTACTTATTTTACTTTCTTCACTTCTAGCTTGAGGATTATAACGATTTATTTCAGGTATTGGCGGTGACCTTTAACAATGTCGTGTTATTAATTTTTTTGGTATTTCTAAACCTCATATTACTTCGTTAAAAACTAACATTAATAAACCAACTTATCCAACACAATGATATGTTTAGCTTTCTACATGTCCTACTTTTTTTGCAAGATGAAGCTCCCCAATATTACTTTGTAATATGTTATACCTTTTACCCATATGTTTTGTAAGTTTTGGGCTTAGACAAAACTACAATGCTAGAAAAAATAATTTATTTTTATGCTTTATATCAATTGTTCTAATTTTATCCATTCTCTTACCTTAGTTTCCGGTGCTATTCAAACTAAAATATAATATTTAACACAATTGTTTCCTCTTCTAAATATTTTTCAAATATGTACAAAAGTTGGAAGAAGATAATTGATAGTATATTACTATCGTTCTTGTTTAAAATCCTCCCTCGGGACTTAAAACCTTTCCTGTTTTTAGTTTTAAAACCTTTCCTGTTTTGAGTTCTTTGGTCAAATAGTGATACTTTTTTACCACAAACTACACATAATCTAAATAAACACATGATATAAAAATTTGATGTATCAAAACTATATCCTAATATGTACCGTACTATTATATAATAGTAAAGTATACTTTTCTCAAAATTTATGGTCAAATAGTATCACTGTTTTACCCAAAAAGTCAAAACAGGAAAGGCTTTTAGGAGCGCGAGTAAGATATTTAATATGCACATATTTTCTAAACTTCCATTATTTACATTATCTCATGCTTTGAGCTCAAATTAACCGATATTACTATGAGTACCATGCAAATTAGCTTCATCGATGATGTTTGGTGCAAAGCATATGCTCAATGTTTAAAACACAAAGTCTTATCATAGACTCCTTTTTATTTTGCCAAAATAATTTTGTTTATTTCATCAAACACATTAAGGATGGTTATTGACGTTTTCAACACCATATGTGTATTTGTAGAGTAAAAATTATGCATAAAAATAAAAGTATATGCTACCATTACAGATGTTTAACTTAATACACATGGTAATAAATTGAATTTATTGATACAGTATCACCAATACATAACAAAACTCACTACTCAAAATCAACACGCTACACTTTGAACAATACAAAACAAAGACAAGTAAAACAAATACATGAGACAAGTTCATAATAGTATATAACACTAAACTTTAACTGGGCACTTGAATCCGTGCATCGCACGGAGCAATGCTAGTGTATGTATATATGTGAAATGAATGTTAATTTTTGTTTTGCTCATCAGTTTCCTAGCTAGTAATTCATATGATGGATCGAAGTTAGATTGATATGCCGCAAACATCACCTGACCATAGTTCTAGTTTGGAGGAGTTTATTTATTTCGTAGGGAAACATTCAAAATATTTTCTATGGACCTTTTATGGAATTTACTCTATTTAAAAATATTTTCTCATATATAATTATATGATATAATATGGAGTAATTTCCATAAAAGGTCCCTAGTTATAGTTTGTTTTACATATTTAGTCTCTACATATTAAGTATCAATAATTTAGTCATCAATTATTATATTGTTTTCCACGAATGGTCCTTTACTAACATTTCCGTTAAAAACGTGGATAAAATTGTTATTTCACACTCCTCTCTCTCCTCAATTAAGCTTCATCCCGCCTCTCACACTTCTTTCCCAAATTCGTCGCTGAGTTTGAAGATTTGAACCAAAACCGAAATCATCACTCCTCTCTCAATTGTTCGTCTTCCTGGTGGAACCCAAAATCGAAACTAATAACCTTCATGTATGAGTTTTAAGGTTTGTTTTTTTTTTGTGATTTCCTGAGACTAACCCATAAAACTCATCAATGAAGGTTATTAGTTTTGACTTTGGGTTCCACCAGGAAGATGAACAATTGAGAGAGGAGTGATCGTTTCGATTTTGGGTTTAGAGCTTCATACTTATCGATGCATTTGGAAATGAGTACGAGAAGAAGGAGGAATCTTAATTGAAGAGAGAGAGGAGTGTAAATATACAATTTTATCCATGTTCTTAACGAAAATGTTAACAAAGGACTATCTATGGAAAACAATATAATAATTGGGAACTAAATTATTGATATTTGGTATGTATGGACTAAATACGTAAAACGATCTATAAGTGGAGACCTTTTATGAAATTTACTCTGTAATATGTTTCATACTATAATATGATTTAAATACATATAATTTATTTATATGTGCTCCCTCTTTCATCAAATAAAGTTTTTAAGGTACTATTGTAAAGTGACAATAATTTTATTTATTTGCGTGCTTTATCGATCATTTGGTAAAATATCATAATCATGTTATTTTTTTGTTTTGAAGACTTTTGATGTAGTTATTAAATAAATATATTTTTTAACTTATACACCAATTCTAAAGTAACAAAATCAAACAAATATTAATTCTTATAAATCTCTTCGTGAATTTTACTTGGGGATGGAGTATTTATTTATTTATTAAATAAATAACTTTTATTTCTTTATTCAGAAAATTACATACAAGAATAAATGATAAAAATATTCAATTTTGTCAAACAACAAAACTGAAAGACTACTCATAGTTTTTTATGTTTTAGTTTTTCAGACTCAAACAATCAATCTCAACCGCAAAATGCCCAACACTCTTTTTGGCGGTTTGACCAGTCAAGACATCCAAGAGTGATCCCAAGACCCAAAAACAAAACCTGGGGACTTTCAACTTTCAACAGGATATTCTCCGGCCCTGTTCTGAATTTTCGAATATTCAGTATTCGAATATCTAGAGATTTCAATCAGGGATGAAATAGATTTTACCCATCTTAAAAGTTTAAGGGGAAGTGATGAACAAAACGAAAAAAAAGAAAAGAAAAGAAAACAACCCCTCAATACTCAATAGTCAATAGTCAACAGATTTTGACCGTCTTCCTGCTGCTATCTTTACATGCCGCCTCAGAGAACTCATGAAATGCAACAGAGAAAACCCCCCAAAACACTCATTTCTCACCCTCTCACTCACCCACGCGCTTCTCTTTCCTCGTATCTTGGTAATCACTCTTTTNTCAAACAAAAACCCTGCAATCCCTTGTGTCGTGTGTGTGCGAAAAACGGTGTGATTCTTGGCCAAAACTATTATTACTGTCCAAAAAAGGTGCAACCTTTATTTCCTTTCTGAGCCTAAACTTGATGCATTTAATGCTTCCGCGTGTTTTCAATGATGGGTTATGCTGCAAATTGCAGAGAACGAAAGAGAGAGAGTAGTAATTGCTTTAGGGAACCATTTGATAATGGTGGCTTGACTTCCATTATTGTGAATATAGATAGATAAGCCCCATGCATTTATGCTCTCAAGATTTATTAGTCTTTGCTTGTTATTATGAGTTTATCTCCCTGCACAACAATTACTTGATTTTTCTTTTAATAACAAGATCTTGTTTCTATCAAGATTCAAGACCCCTTTAAAAAATCTCTTGTGATGCTTTTGTTTTTCTAGAATGGGTGCTTGAAATGAAGGTGAAGATTGGGGAACAAGAAGGTCAAAATGGGAAGAGCACCTTGTTGTAAAAAGGAGGGGTTGAGGAAAGGAACATGGACACCTGAAGAGGACAAGATTCTTGTTGACTATATTACCAAGAATGGACATGGCAGCTGGAAGTCTCTCCCTAATCTTGCAGGTTTTTTTTCCTTTCTTCAAAAACTAAAATAACATTTTTGAGCTTCTAGATTTGCCCTTTAATATCCTGAGGTTGAAATTTCTACTGCAAGTTTTACCTTGTATTGTACCTTTCAGCTTGTAATACTTGGGAATTTAACTACAAATTTTTGTGACAATAATTCTTGAATGATACAATGGTCTGGGTGGAATGGGGGGCACTTTAGACTCTTTGTATAGGCAAAGATGTGCATTTCTTGTTGCAAGCTAAGGGAATGCACCTTTTGCCAAAAACAGAGAGAATAAAATGCAATAAATGCACCTTCTCTTATCCACCCTCCACAAGACTGTCATTAGTAATACCATATCACTATTAGGGAGATAAGATGTTAAATGGCTATAATCATGTGACTTATTTTTTTTATTACTAGAATGAAATTCTTGCTTATGAGAGTATAAAATATAATTCTGTTGGCCTAATAATAACCTTCATTCACTCATTGCATAATACTTGTTACATGAATGTCACTCTTTAGCAGCAAGTTTTAGGCTAGCTAGACTCCAGCCGTAGACATTTAGAGTTAATTTTAATTTCACAGGTCTTCTCCGTTGTGGAAAGAGTTGTAGGCTCCGGTGGGCAAACTACCTTCGCCCTGGCATTAAGCGTGGTCCATTCAGCGCAGAAGAACTTGAAACCATCATTCAACTGCACAGTGTTCTTGGTAACAGGTATGTTTTTGGCCAAGTTTCTGGTGCTGTTTACTACTGTAACCACCCCCGTATGTGTTAATTTCTTTGCATTCCCGTATAGCTAATGGTTGAAGTTTTCTTTAAGGTGGTCTGTCATAGCTTCCCATTTGCCAGGAAGAACAGACAATGACATAAAGAACTACTGGAACTCGCGTCCAAGGAAACAAAGAGTCAATCCCAATAACCATCAAAACCACCAGATGTCTGTGCAGATTGGTGTGAAGCACGAAATGCCATCACCAACCAACATCCACATGACGCAATGTGACAAGAGTGCTCTTGGACTGGCATTTGAGAATGAGATGCACTGCGACCCGTTCTTGCGCCTGTGGTGTTCCGAAGCTGGAGAACTGTTTCGCGGTTCAAAGAAATCATGTCCAAGCCCAATGTCTCAAGGAGCTTCTGGTTCGTCGGCGAGCAAGTTTGAGACAAGTTCTGGGATCACTCTTCAGGAGAATGAACTTTCTTTAAAGATTTTCAGCCCAATGCCTGTGAATTGCAAAGTAGAGGTCGAAGAAGATTCAAAATGCTATAAACTGGATGATGATGATGATGATGAAGATCCATCTGAGGCAGCTCTCAATCTACTGCTAGATTTTCCTGAGGGTGTTGATGAAATGGGATTCTTGCGTGATGGGTCAGGAGAAAGTCCTTCTTTTTATCACCAAGGCTAACCTTTGTCTTTCAGCTTAGAATCCTGGGGAAACCATGTATGTAAATCTGCCTACATCCCTGCTGATTTTGTCTTGGGCCTGCTACATGTATCTATATCTAATTAGAATCTTCCTGGTTTGGTTTTGGAGATGATAGGGTTTTTTTTGAAAGTTGCCATGATCTTAATATCTTATCTTAGCAACCCAATAGCTAAAAGAAATAAGTATGATAATAAATTAAATCATAGTAATGTATGTATGTGTGTGTGTGTGTGTGTGTGTGTGTGTATATATATATATATATATATATATATATATATATATATATATATATAGACACACACATGTGTGTGTGTGCAAATTTAAAAAATTAAAATTAAATAAGAAAATTAAAAAAATTAAAAAGTAGAATAAATAATAAAAAAAAATATTCCGTCCGTTATTCTCAGCCTGCCAGAAATTTAACAATTCTCTTTGTCACTAAAAAAACACATAGCTCGGCTTTGCGGGTGGACGTTAGCGAGTTGGCAAGACAAGGAGTGCTAAGGGAGTATACCTAAAAAGTCAATTAATCACTACAATCAACGGCATGAATGCTAAGAATTTCAGGTTAATCATCCTTCAAAATTTCTCTAATTTCAATCGGAGGAGAGACAAATTTTTTCCAAGTACCAATATCATCATGAGCAATTTTACCAATAGCAATTTTACCGATAGCTCAAGGGTCCTACGCAACTACTCTAATCCTATTTCTCCAAATACTCCTATCTAAAAGTATATCCTCAGTAACAAAATTAAGTCCTACATTTTATCTAACCCTAGTTAAACTAAAATTATTTCTAATTCAACTTATTTAGAAAATTATGTAAATTAAAAAATAAATTTATGCCCTCCACCTTTTTTCCGGTGTCACTTGGAACAATTTTTAATCAATGGGATTTGTGTAAGCATATTTGTGTAGGGTAAAGAAAAACCAACTCTCTACGCCTTAAAAGAATTACATTTCTCATTATTCAAAAGTTACGAATACTTTTATTTATTTATATATTCTGATTGAATATGTGATAAAATAAAATATTCATGTCATATCTTGTTTTGTAGAATTTTGATGTAATTTTTTAAGAGTAAATTCCATAATTGGTCTTTTATATCAGGGGGTTTCCCTATTTAGTCCTCGATCATCAAATATTGCTCCAGTAGTCCTTTTATGGATATATTTCCACAAATAGTCTTTTTTGATCTTCTATCATGTTGGTGTTAATCTGAGCGCTAAAAATGTAATTTCACAATGATAATATAACTTTTTTGTCATACACAATTCCAGAGGCTATTCTGTTTGCGTCGTTTGTGAACAGTCGCTTTCTACTACCACCATAGTCTACAAATGTGGTCTTTCGTCGAAATCCTAGCCCACAATCATAGTCATTATTTTTGTGTTATCCGCTTAACCAATATCAGAATACGTCACTAGGCATAATGTTGATATCAAATTATACTTTTAGTCTTTAAATTAACACCAACATGGCAGAAGATAAAAAAAAGGACCATTTGTAGAAAGACACCCTTAAAAAAAGGACTACGGGATAATATTTGATAATAGAGGACTAAATATGAGAACCTCCGTGTTATAAAGGACCAATCATGAAATTTACTCAATTTTTTATAAGTAATATGTAAATTTTGTTTTTCATTTTTATACCAATCTTTAAATAAAATAAATTAAATTTTTTTGAAACTTCTCTTCATTTTGCATAAGATATAAAATATTTTGAGACAAATAGAAGAAAGACCATATTATATGTTCAACAAAAATTGATAAATAAATTAAAAATTAAAACTTGGCCTCGTGAATAATGAAAACAAAAGGTTTTTTAAGAAATACTCCGTCGAGAAGTACACCGTATACACGTTATCTGTCAAGAATATTTGTCCAAATTTGATTTTTTTACGACCAATTAGAATTGATGTCTGATCAATACTTAAACAAAAATTACATTGTATAATATACTTCTTAATTAAATAAAAAAATAATTTTGAAATACTTTACAAGATAAATCTTAAAAAATCATTCTTGTATCAGGATTTAATACCACTAAGAAATACGGGCGGAGGTGGTACTATAAAAAAACACATTTTCCCTGCCACGAGTCCAAGAGTTAAAGAATCCGTCACCCACGTAACACGTGTGTCGCTCTCTCCCTGCCACCGCCGTGCATGTGGCGGCGTCGGCGGCCACCCACCCTTCATATTTCATAATCCCCTTTATCCACCTACAACATCTATCTATCCTTTCCAGGAACTTCTTACCCCCCCTGTTTTATACTCGGAGTAATATATATACACATACATCTCCTTCTCCGCGGTTCGTAATCTTCAAAAAACAAACAGTTAACAAATACATTAGAATGGACGCGACACAGTTACAACGCCCACAAGGACATGACGGCCAAGCCTATAACTACGAAGAAAAAGGTCTCTAAATTAAACTCTTTTTTTGTTTCTTTGATTTGGTTCTTTACATTTTAATGAATCATTAGAGTTAAATGGGTTGATTTGGCTTTGTCTTCTTGGGGGGCATGCAGCACCTGCGGAGAAGGTAGGGGGCGGCGGCGGGGTCCGTGCAGGCGAAGACGAACATCAACACGAGAAAAAGTCGGTGCTGAAGAAAGTGAAAGCGAAGGCCAAGAAGATCAAGGACACGCTTAAGCATCACGGCCACGGCCACGATGGTGATGATTCGCTCGAAGATGATGATGACGATGAAATGGACGTTGACCCAGACGTCCATGGCGGTCATAGTATGTTTGTGTTCAACTTATTATTTTTTCTGCTTATTACCGACATCAAACCAGATCTTCAAAAAATCAGATCAAATTAGGCGAACGGAACGGAACCTTTAGTTTCTTGTTTATTAACTATTACTCTGTATTATTTATACTTGCACTAAATAATTAATGATCAGTTGGTGATGGAGTCAACAACACTGCCACACAGCACAGAACTCTGGATGATTTAGGTCATGGGGAGAAGCCAAGCCTTAAGCCAACGAAACCCAAGAAGGATCATTGTGGTTTAGGGTTGAAAGATGAAGGTATCATCATACCTGATGAAGCAGAAGTAGAGCCCAGACATGCCACGGGAATCACTCGTGTGCCTTTGCAAAGGCACCAGCCCGACCATGGCAGCACCGGCGGTGATGTCCTGCAGCAGCCCAGGGTTGTAAGAATTGGAGCACCAGTTGGTCTAGAGGAGGATCCTCAAGCCCCGTCCGACCATCCCCACCTGCCCTCAAACTATCAGAGTAAAACCTCTGATCCAACCGGTGTTGGTAAGGCCAAACATTCCTCTTATTTACTTCATTTGATGTCAGATTTTTCATTTTCTAATGTCTACTTGTGGTGGTATGAAGGTGCCAATGAGGTGGGGTTAAGCCCGCTTATTCAATCGTTTGGGAAGATGGAAGTTGGTAAGCCAGAAACAACAACAACAGGAAGTCATGACCAGTTTGCTCCGGGAGACAAGTATACGCCTGTGGATCCAATTCCCAAGAGGTTTGATCCGACCAAACCCGAAGACCTTCCCATTAATCCAATTGATGGAAAGCCGTCAGATCAACATGGTAGGAGCTATGTAGGCAAAAGTGCAGAATACGCCAAGAGCACGGCAATGACCGTGGCTGAGAAATTGGCACCCGTGTATGAGAAGGTTGCAGGTGCTGGAAGTGCTGCAATTGAAAAACTTCCTCTGGTTGGTGGACAGAAGGGAAAGGAAGCAAGCAGAGATGTGAACGAACATGGCGAGCAAGGAGGAGGAGGAGGAAAGAGTGTTACGAGCACGGTGAAGGAGAAACTGGCACCGGTGTATGATAAAGTAACAGCTGCTGGAAGCTCGTTAATGTCGAAAGTTCATGGCCCTGGAACAGGGGAGGCCATTGTGAAGGGGAATAAGGAAGGCCAGGAGGAGAAAAGTATTAAGAGTGATAAAGGAGTGTCTATGAAGGAGTACTTGGCAGAAAAATTGAAGCCCGGAGAGGATGACAGAGCCCTGTCTGATGTGATTTCCGGAACCTTTTCAAGGCAGAAGGAGGTACCAGAGGAAGCAGGGAAAGCTACTAGGCCGATGGGAAAAGTGACCGAATCTGAGGAAGTTGCAAGGAGGTTGGGATCTATTGACGATAGTCCGAGAGAGGAAACTGGAGAGAAGAGTGTGGTGAATATGCTGAAAGGGGCAGTGAACTCGTGGCTTGGGAGAGACAATGAGGTGAAGGCCACAGCTGCAGGCCACAACACAAATGGTAACTTGAATATTAGTGTTTGTTTCCTTCCATTCCTTTTTTATTGCTAGATATCTATCACTGATTGAGCTTTCTATCTTGTCTAATATTCAGAGACTCAAAGGGAAAGGGTTCATGATAAGAATGCAATGGGAGAGAGGCGACTTCAAGAATCTGGGCAGTGAAGAACAATATACATATATTCTGGGAAGGGATATGATTTTGTTGTGGGTTTGTGGTGCGCGTATAATGTATATGCATAAAGCTTCGTATAATGTGTATGCATAAAGCTTCATCTTCTGGGTAATAATAAGTTGTGTGGTGTGAGAAAGTGTTTGTTTAAGTGAACCTAATCAGCAATGTTAAAGAATGTAGTTTTGCTAGGGATATGTTGCTTGCAATTCAACTGCTATCTTGACAATAATTAAGGAATCTTGACAATAATTAATGAATGGGAGCAAGATACAGGGAGTTTATTCAGCAGTGGAAGAACATACAGATTAAGCAACTATTGGAAGGATCAAAACTTCCTTCTGTTCTGCATTACAAACTTATTTGGCTACATAAATGAAATCAGAACATTTTGGCAGAAACAAAAAAAAGGATACATAGAAACAACATAGTACATAAGAGTGAGCCATGATGCCAACCTGTTTGGGGACATACTGAACAAAGAAGACAGCTTATTTAGCAAGGTAGTGCTCGGCCACTAGTCTCCTCAGTATTTTCCCCGTGGCTGTTTTAGGGAGAGAATCTGTCAAGAATACCTTCTTTGGAACCTTGAAGGCTGCAAGATTCTTCTTGCAGAATCTCAGCACCTCCTCTTCATCAATTTTTGACCCTTCAGCCGGGATAACTGCACAGTTTATCTGGTAAACCCCAAAGTAGTGCATATGGTCATACACAAATGCCAACCATAAAAAATCACTTAGGTAAAAAATCATTTTGTCCTTATTTCTCAATTAAAGCATTTCTAATAAATCTAAGAAAATAATACGGAGTATCACACTTGATGCAAAATAGATTTTTATCTCACCTCTTCGCCATACTTATCATCAGGGACTCCAAAAGCAACAGCTTGAGCAATCTCTGGGTGAGATATGAGGACAGCATCCACTTCAATAGGCGATATTTTCTCCCCTACAATGAAATAGTTTCAACACTTGAAATGATGGGAGATAAAAAAAGAGAAATACTCCCTCCGTCCCTAAATATTTGCCACATTTCTATTCCCGAGGCAAAATATCAAGTTTTTTCAATTCATTTTATTTACATATTGGTATAGAAATAAAAAATAAAATTTACATATCAAAAAACTACATGAAAAGTTCTTCGAAATAAGAGGTGTCAAGAATATTTTATTTTATCAAATAACCAATGAAAACGTAGAAATAAACAAAAGTTCCCGCGACTGTTGAAAAAGCAAACGTTGCAAATAATTTGGGACGGAGGGAGTATATTATCTAGCAACACAGTAAGATCAGATGAAACTACTATGGACTTTTAGTTTTAGCCTTAATTTTTAACCATAACTGGACTCTGGAGCCTCAAAACCAACTTGATTTGGGACAAAGTAAACGAAGTTTTTTTAGACCAAAATGTTTGAGGGTTCCACAGGCATACATACCTCCGCGGTTGATCATCTCTTTGATCCTGCCAACCAGATGTAAATACCCTTCAGAGTCAATGTAACCCAGATCTCCAGTGTGAAACCAACCAAATTTGAAAGCGGATTCGTTGGCTTCCGGGTTCTTTTTGTACCCTTTAGTCACATTTGGTCCCCTGATGCAAACCTCTCCGGTAACCCCGACCTCTTTTACCCGGCCATTCTCATCCAGTATTGTCATCTCTTGACCCACGGGTCTACCAACGGATCCGGGCACGTGTGGTCCATCTTCGGGCAACGGATTCGAAGCCATCAAATGGGTCGCCTCCGTCATTGCATAAGCCTCTAGAACTGGGGCTGCAAATGCTTCTTCAAGCCGGGCCAATATGGACGGAGCCAGAGCAGCACTGCAACTGCGGATGAACCGGAGCTTCGGGTATACGGGTTCGGGTTTGGTGAGGTGACGTTCCAATATGATTTGGTGTATGGTGGGCACGGCCGTGTACCATGTGGCTTCGGACTTGTTCATGTCTGACCAGAAAGTGGAAGCAGAAAATCTCCCGGCGGAAGGGAGCGTGACGGATCCTCCCGAAGCAATGGAGCTCAACAGCCCAGCAATCAACCCGTGAACATGAAACAGAGGCAAAACGATTACAGTCGAGTCCGACTCAGTGAGCTTGTAAACCGATCTAATATTGTTCACGGAAGAAGCTAGGTTAAATTGAGTAAGGGGAACGCCCTTGGGGCGGCTGGTGGTGCCGGAGGTGTGGAGGAAAAGTGAAACATCATTCGGGTCGTTCACGAGTTCCGAAATCGCATCAGGATCCGATCCGGGAGGAGCGGGTGACAGATTAATCTCCGATCCATCACCTGAAAGCGTACCGGTAACAGCCGGGATATTAAGCTTGGCGGCGGCGGCTTGGGCTGCCCCGTTCCCTTCTTCGGGAATCAACAGCACCTTCGACTCGGAGTCGGACAAATAAAACTCGAACTCCTCCGCCGTGTAAGCCGAATTCAGCGGAGCGGCCGTGGCCCGAGCCCGAATAGTAGCCAGAAACATAACCACAAACTGTAATTGAAATTCAACCTCGAATTAATTCAATTGCACCATAGATTACCACTCGCGGCACACAAAGAGAGGAAAAGCAAACGAACCTCGAGAGTATTGGGGAACGTGAGAGCGACGACATCTCCAGGCCTAAAGCCGGCGGCGAATAGGGAAGAAGCGGCGCGTTCGACGAGGTCGTGAAGGCGCGCGTGAGTAAGATCGAACTTGCCGGGAACGGATATGGCTCTCCGGGAGGGGAATGTTCCGGCGATATGCTGTAGTAATCCGGTGAGGGTGGATGCCGCCATGTTTGAAGAACTTGCTCTAAACGAACGAAATGGACTAATGGAGAAGGAAAGGAACGAGTGAGTGGAAGAAGAAGAGGTTTTGGGGGAAAGGGTGGATAAATAGATTCAGCGGATCTGCCATCTCGCAGGGGGAAGGGAAACTGCCGTGCGCATCAAAAACTTTTGGGTCAAAAGACAAAGCTGACTAATAAAATGTCATTCCAATAAGTTACGGAGTACATTCTCATCTGCCACTGACCGGCCAGCCACCGCCGTGAGAGCTGTCCGTCCCCGTGTTGCCAAAGGGCCACCGTTGGTCATCCGCATTACCACTATGGAGCGGTGTTCCACCACCGCACTGCCGCCACACTTCATCACCATACTCACGCTTATCACATCATCATCACAATGTCAGAAACTTAAAATTGTACTAGAAGTAATTCTTATTTTAATACTCCTATTTTTACACTGAGTATTATTATATTTCAATGTAGAGATAATTATTTTATTTGGGTAATTTGATGGGATTATATTTAAAAAAATTAAATAAATAAAAATAAAATAACATTGAGTGGTGAAGAAAGGTGTGGGGACAAATGAAGTACATCTTTGGTGTACCCCTAACATTTTTCAAAAAATAATACTCCAAGATACTTCGAATGTAATCTTCTTAAAAAAGGAAATATTTTTTTGGACGACCAAATTATAAAGTAAAAAATAATAAGAGTACAATGATAGTCACATCCCATTTAAATGATAAATTTTCTGGGTCCTTAAAATACATTCTAGCACATTTTGATGGATGTTAAATCCATGAAAATTATATTGGTGAAATGAAATAATACAGAGAAAATTTTTGAATAATAAAAATGGTAGAAACTCTAAAATAAACTTTTTTCACAGAAAGTGAAAGTTTAAGAGCCTCATATTTTATTCCTAAATAGAAAAGAAAAGTATGAACTTTGTTTTAACTCATATAGTTACATCCCTAATTAGAGCCTAAAGACTTAAAGAGTCATCACATAAAGGCCTTGTTTGGATGTTAGCGGTTAGCTGTTGGCAGTTGGCTGTGTGTGTTGGCTGTTTTGAATGGCTGATTGAATTAGTTGTTTTGACCAGCTAATTGTATTGGCTGTTAGGAAAAAATTATTTGGTAAATTTAGTTGTTCATAAACAGCTGTTTGCAATGAAAATTACATATTTAGACATTTCTCCAAATATGTTGCTTAATTGTTTTAAAGGATGTGTTAATTAACTTATTGTTTTGAATCATTTAAATTTTTAAATTTTGATAACAATAACAACCTAGTAGGATGCCACGAATGTAGGATCAAGGCAGGGTGTTGTTCGCAGTTCTTACCCATACTCAAAAGTAGAGAGGATATTTCTTAAATATAAAAACACATAATTTTTTTTTGAAAGTTATTTTTGAACACTTAGAATTTAAACATTATTTATTTTCTATAAATATTTATAATCATTTCATTTTAAAATAAAAATCTTAAAATCCTTTATATATAATATTTGAGAGTTGAACTCTCAGAATTGCGACATTTGGCGTGCTGACTGGAACTTTTTTTGACACTTCATCAGCCACGTCATCAAAATCAACTTTCTCAATATTTCAAACGGGTCGGGCTTCTAGATTTGTGACATGTGGCGTGCTTATTAAACAAGTTTTTTAACATATCAGAATGTCATGTTAGCAAGTAATGTTTAAAAAATAGTTAACAAAAAACTTATTATGTAGAAATTAAATTTTATATTTGTTACACACGAATTTCTCCATATAATCGCGTTTAAAATTTTTTATATTTTCATTCATTATTAAAAAAATATTTAAATTAAATAGTATATTTTGAAATTTAAAAAAAACACTTATTGAAAAACTATAATCAAAACAAATAAATTTACTTTAAGAACGGTAAGATTGGTAGGACTAAACAAAATTACATTTGATTTTTTTGCTTTGAATTAATACTAATTGGAGAGATTTTCTAATTATTTAAAAAAAGAAACAAATATATAAAAGGAAATGAATTTTTATGGGCATGCTTATTTAATAGAGCATTAATTTTATTCCGTATATATAAAAAATTTTAAATCGAATAAAAAGTATGTTCCATTTTAAAATTAGTATTTTCCATTTTAAAATTATTGTTTTCCATGTATAGCTTTTTAAAAATGTACATGTAACAAAAATTATCATTTCCATTTATAACTTTGTAAAATGATCAAGACTTGATAAGTGAGTATTTATGTGTAAGAAATTAAATATTAATTGGTGTTCCTAATTGAAATATTTATGGTATACTATTAATTGTTATAAATGTAATTACTTTTATATGTAATTTTTAAAAAATATAAAATGTGCTAATTATTTTGACATCTATGTCAAAATAATATAAGTAAGAAATATTCTTTCTTATTTATTCATTGAACCATCGACATCAATGTAACAAATATTAGTGGATAATAAAAAAATATATTTAAAGTTTTTAGATAAAAAATATAATATTTATTTTATGATGCTTATTACAAATCAATTGAATAAAGATTCAAAACATCTAAAGTTTTCAATTTATTGCATAAAAGAAAATGTTTTATTGTCTCTTCTAAAGAAAACCATCTGATTTGCTCTATAATTTATTTTGTGGTCTTGGTGTGAAGAGTTCTCATTACCATGAAAAATTTAAATAAATACAACTGTATGTTTTCATTAACATTTATAAATGGAAATATTTATACATCTCAAAATAATGGTTGAGCAATAATGTACTCTCAGCGGACACATTCATCATCATCACATACCATGTTTAATGTCACAATATGGTGCAAGACCAAAATTTACGCAATTGTATATTTATGGTATAGAGAACGAGATATGAAAACAAATAACTCATTTTAGGCATCTCGAATACTTTATTGAGTACACCCTTTTAATAAAAGTCTTATTTACATGTGTTTGACAATATAATACACATCACATTATTAACATGCTAATAAAAACAAATTGTTCTATTTGTTTCGCACAGTAGGGAGAATAATTCTTTGACTACTGATAAAAGTTTGGTCAAAGATTTAAAAAATATGGTAAATGAGCATAATGTTTTAACACATATATTTAGAAGAACTAAAGACTTCATGGATAATGAACCTACTTATAATGTATCATTGAGGCTCTTGAGAAGTAAGACTTAATATATAATGAGCCTACTTCTAATGTATCATTGAGGTTGTTGACAAGTAAAACTAGAGACTCAAAAAATTATTATATCTCCACAATACATGAAGTTGGTGCTCTAATAGTTAAAGATCTTGAATCTTAACACAAGATATTCCTCAAGCATATAGTGAACTTCACTTATCCGAACTTATTGGTGAACATGAAAAATTATTATATTCTTTTTTTAAAGATAATGTACTATTGGCACCTGTGCTCGAGATTGTTGAATGGTAATGAATTTATCTTATCCTTTATTACATGAGGTGAAAAGTAGTACGGAGTACTTAATTTCTTATTCTTCATGACAACAAGTTTGGAATTAAAAAAGACATTTTTGAGTACATTTTCAATCCTCAAATATTATTTATTCTACCTTGGTGTTTTTGTCCAATGATAAAAAATCATGTTACAAATATATTTACTTGATCCGGAAAACATATTGCATTAAAAAATTCAGAATCGACAAAAATTTCGTCGACCCCGTGCATCGCACGGGTGAAAATACTAGTATGATACTAAAAAAAGAGTAGTGTACCATAAAAATTATTGAAATGAAGAAACATGTCTATGATAAGAAAAAGAAAGAAAAAGAATGCTTTGGTAAAAAAATGGCATGATGGGGGCATCTCTTTTTTGGGAACGGCTCAAGAAGGGCAAAAAATTAAATATATGCAATCAGCCAATTAGAAACGCTACTCATGTTGGCAGTTCAAATTTCGACAGTTCGTGGCCAACAGCTAAATGCAAAAGCCAGCGTCCAAACAATTTTTTTGGCGGATTGAAAAGTCAAAAAAGCCATTCATGGTCAAAACATCCAAATGCTACCTCAACAGCCATTTACCAAACATGGCCAAAAGCTAACTACATCAAAAACTGAGCAATTGGGCAGGGGTCTGGTCATTGCAAGGTCACAAGAACACCACTGATACAGCTAGATCAAAAGAACACCACGCGAATTTACGAAAGGATAGCTGAAAATAGTCTACAAAGGACTTGATATATTAAGGGGAACTTTGTTTAGTAAATCCATCTCGAAAAACAACAAATATACGCAGAAAATGTAAATCTGCTCATACTTCAACTCATTGAACTTCCAAAATAAGACATCGCCATAAACCTAGTTCGAGAATGTTTATTTCTTCTTGTCACCACCTCCGGTAGCCCTGCAGCGGTTCCACCAAGCATTAGAAACAGAAGCATGAAACTTGAGTATAACGAAAAGGTAGTAAATATCGAAAAATCTGAATCAACAAATGGATATGCAATGCAAAATCATTGTGCTGATCATGTAAAGATCTGCAAAATTACCTCATCTTTCGGAGAACATTAGACATCTCCTCTCTCTTCCTCTTTGCCCTCTTGTGAGTGCCCAACTTTCTCTTGGCTACCTTCAAAGCACGCTTGTCCTTTCCAACTTTCAGAAGCTCAGATATCCTCTTCTCATATGGTGCAAATCCAGCCACTTCCCTGATTAGGTTCCGGACAAAATGGACTCTCTTGCTTGTTTTCTAAAGAACATAAATTTGAGAAGGTTAAAAAAAGATGACAACTCTAAACCAAGTTCCTAAAAAAATCAAAGAAGCAAAAGTGAATAGAAAAAGTGGTTGAATGGTTGGCAACTCAATGAACTCAGTAGGTTAAAGAACATATGCTCCCAAAAAAAAAATCATCAGAAACAACAGAATCAGGATCTGTAAATGTCACAATTATGTTTTCAAATAACCAGCAAGCATTCTGTACATGTATCCATGAATTACATGCTGATTTTACAATAGTAGTCTTGCAATGAATCTTGCTATGTTTCATGTCAATACCAAATATCTCAACTCGCCACCCTCTCAACTCACCAATGAATGACTGTATGCAAATTCAATCTTATCATTCCCTCTCATGCAACAGAAAGCTGGTGTAAACATTTCCCAAAGTCTTTTGCATAAAACTAGAGTTGTTTTAATCGTCACTAATAATTTAATGCAACAGGCTGAACATCGGAATTCATATTGAAAGCTTGATTAAACTTTCTTGCTCATTATTCAAAATCAGTAATAGTAAATTAGGCAAAAGAAGAAAATCTATATCCAAGGTAATTAACATTACTAATAGTAGTTTTTATAAATGCAAATATAACTTAATAAATATCAAAATTTGAATTCCAACAATTAGCCATTTTAAGTTTATACACATACATGAACCGCAATAAATAAGGTCTATGAGTAGATTGGCCCAGAAAGCACATAAGAGACTTACTCCCTTCCGGTCTGAGGGCCTTGGAGCTAGCTCCTTCTTGGTAACCACATGGCCTTTGTTCAGACCAACAAAAAGCCCAGAACTGGCCTGTTTCGGAGCCATTCCTGCATTGCCGAACACCGCAGAATGAAGATATGATTATTTTCGATTCACGTCTTCACAGGCGCCGAACAAAGGAATTCATTTCCACGCACATCATATATGATCATAGAATCATAAATCGATGAATGCAAAATGATTTAAACGCAATGATGTCAAAGATTATATGCACAGATAAATGAAAGATGAGGGGGGAGAGAGGAAAACGAAAGCTTCGAAAAAAGAGGCTAACCTTGATCCTGTGATAGCCCGAGCCGACGATGGAAGAGTAGCTAGGGTTTTGAAGATGTACTACCCCAATATATACCGGATTTGGAAGTGATGAAACTATTGATAATATGACTTGAGGGTAGAACTGTAATTAAAAAAAAGAAAATGGTGTTTTTTCACATAAATTTGGAATTGGTAGGACATGTCCAAGTCTCCAAGACCTAATTTTGATACCATTTTTACATTATTTTGTTCCATTATTTCACAAATGTGTAATAATGTTAGACGTCTATAAAAAAATATTGTCAAAATTCGTTTTGCAATTAGATATACTTGACATTTCTCAAAGGTGGGTAGGGCTTCGTTTCGCAATTGAAATCGTAACATGAACCTAGAGTTCCGGATTTGGACCGATGGGGGTCCATGAAATGAAACGTATTGTTGAGAGGTATGGTTTTGGTCCACCGATTTGGGACTTAGATGGTGTTTGTGAGTGATTAAATTAAATTATAGGTAAAGTAATTATCGTAAAAGCTGAAAATAGAAGCACCATATATCTCTTATTGCGAAATGAAATAATGTATAAAAAGTAAATTCCCAAAATAGTCCTTTGTAATAAGGGATTTTCCCACATTAGTCCTCAGTAAGTTTTAATTACCTACATGGTCCTCTATAATTGAGATTTATTCCCAAAATAGTCCTTTGTAATACGGTATTTTTCCAAATCAATCCTCAATAAGTTTTAATTACCTAGGTGGTCCTCTATAATTGAGATTTATCCCCAAGATGGTCCTTCATAAATAATGTTACTCAAATGAGGATTAATTGAGGTTATTTTTTCTGCTAAATTTAGAATTAATTCTTAAAATAATCATTTATAATGAAATGCTTTCCCAAAATAATTTTTCTAATTAAAGATGTGTATTTGATTTGAAATTTAAAAGATTTTTTTTAAGTTTTAAATAATTCATAAATTATTTATACTCAATGTATTTTTTAAATTTTACATTTACTTGTACAGAAATGATTGTTTCAAAAATATACTTTAAATTTAGATTATCAAAATACCAAAATATCTCCCAGTTAATCCTCATTTGAGGATTGATTTGGGAAAACACCTTATTACAAAGAACCACTTTGAGAATTTACTCATAAATAATTTATGAATTATTTAAAACTTAAAAAATCTTTTAAATTTTAAATCAAATACACATCTTTAATTAGAAAAACCATTTTGGGAAAGCACTTCATAATAAATGATTATTTTAAAAATTAATTCTAAATTTAGAAGAGAAAAAATAACCTTAATTAATCCTCATTTGAGTAACATTATTTATGAAGGACCATCTTGGGGATAAATCTCAATTATAGAGGACCACCTAGGTAATTAAAACTTATTGAAGACTGATTTGGGAAAATATCTTATTACAAAGGACTATTTTAGGAATAAACCTCAATTATAGAGGACCATGTAAGTAATTAAAACTTATTGAGAACTAATTTGGGAAAATTCCTTATTACAAAGGACTATTTTGGGAATTTACTCATATGTAAAAAATGGTGGTAGAAAATAGTAGAAGTCGACATACCAAACAGAATAAAAAAGACTACAATCCAAAACAGAAGCTAAATTTTTGAAAGCACGACTCTCAGACACCTTCTAAGAACCAATGATCCAGTTTATCACTTATTCTCATTCTTTTCATAGCCTCATATATTAATAATTGTTGGAAATCTAGGAAGGACAATAATGCTGCGAAGCAATGTTAGAAATTTGGTACATGAATAATAACTTGATAAACTTAGTGAATCGTGTATAAACATTTTTAAATTTAAGTTAATTTTGGTTATACCAAAATATTTTAATCGGTTAAAACTTAAGTTTTTAGAACAATTAAGTATGTGAGTTCCATCGTTCCGAAACAAACCGTGAGCCATGTATTTGTAGGCAAATTTCCGAATGAACATGTTGGTTGATGAAATAATACAACTTTTGGGGTAACATTCGAATGTTTGCACTCAAATATTCAAATGCATATAACGGTTAACATAAAATTCCAAACAGTTATTTTGTAGTTTTATGCAAATCGTTACAACTAACCGCAAAATATTTTAATGTTTGTAATCAAGAATTTGTATGCATTGAGCTATTATACAAAGGGTACTAAAGATAAACATTATATTTGTATGTCTATTTCTTTAAACTCTACTTACAAAAATCTAAGATAGTGTTTGAGAACTAGTATTTCATTTCAATTCATGCATTTTAATTCCAAAATTTGAAATTTTAAATTTTGACTCAAATTCAAATCTAAAAATTTCAAAGTTTTCCAAATATGAAATTTGAGCCAAATCCAAATTCAAAACTCAAATCAATGTTCTCAAACATATCATAAATTATTTTGTACTCCGTATATTCTATTAATTCAATTTGGAGTTTCGGATATCCAAACTTTAGATATCCGAAGACTTTCGCCACTTTCAGATTGGATCGGATGGATCCGATTGAGCCCCCTAATTCATCCACTTCATAACTAACTTTCCTTCCAAAAGCCCCGCCTTCAAGATTCCACCCCGCTTAAAACGGAGAACGGAGAATCCATCCAGCCAACCAATCCGCCATTGCTGCACCACTCCAGCTCCAATATATAACTCCGGCATCGGATAATAATATCATCTCTCAGATAACGGCAATGACGGCGGAGGAGGAGACTGCCAAATACGAAACCAAAGTCGACATCAAGAGCTCGTCGTCAGCGCTGCCTCCTCCACCGGCGTTGGCCGCACCGCGGTTGTCCCTCGCCGGAGATGATCTAACGGAGGAGAAGAGAGTCAATTTCCCGTTCTTCAGGCCGCTGTCGCAGAAGAGCGAGAATGCGTGGATCATCTCTCTGTTCGTGATCGTACACCTGATTGTCTTCACGGCCACCATGATCGTCAACGACTGTTGGCACAACTCTCACGGCCAGTGCTCCGTTAAATTCCTCAGAATGGTCTCCTTTCAGCCCCTCCACGAGAATCCCTTGCTAGGCCCCTCCGCCTCTGCGTAAGTGATTTACTGCCACAGTTGCTTGAACTAAGTGTCTTGCCTACGAGGTGTTTGATAGAATTTACCTTCAAGATCCTTATCTATGTTGTTTTCTTTATTCTATGATTGCAACCTTAAATTGTTTTCAGAAGAGTTACTGTAACTTCAGACTTTGTGCATATAACGCTAATGTTTCTGTAATTTCGTGCATATTGCTCATGTTGGCTTCATAATTCATATGGTTTCAATTTCACAGAATTGTTTTTCTTGGATTTTGTTTTTGAATGTTTGTGACTCTTAACGAAATGAACTATGAATTATCGTGTGGGTCATACCTCCTACAAGCCTTGGCAATCAAAATGAAACGACACGTGATAAATTGAACCATTCCCGGACGTTCTATATAATTTTTGTTCAAATAAATACGGAGTAATTAGAATTTTCAGTCCTTCATAGTTTCAGTTGGAAGGGTTAGTAATTTAGTATATGCTGCAGTAACAAGTGCTGGCCTGCTGCGTTTTTGTCTTCTTAGAATTGCCAAACTAAATTGAATATTTTTTGGGTGTTTGATGTATAATCACTTTGTTTTGCAGGCTTGATAAAGTTGGGGCTCTTAAGAAGACTTTTTTCATTGATAATCACCAATTCTGGCGTGTTTTCACCAGTCCATTGTTGCATGCAGGACTTTTCCACATCATCTTAAACTTGTGCAGTGTAGTCTTTGTTGGAATTCACATGGAACAAGAGTTTGGATCAAGTAATCATTTCAATATTCATTATTATTCTTACTACTGTTACTACTACTCTGGAGTATTATATATGTGGTGATGTTGATGTGTATCACATATACATTTCCACCATGTTCTTCAGTCAGGACTGGAGTTGGCTACATACTGTCTGCCATTACTGCTAGCTTGGTGGCTGCGCTTTTCGTTACTGATAAAACATCAGTGACATCATCTGGAGCATTATTTGGATTGCTCGGTATGATGCTGTCTGGGCTCATTAGAAACTGGAAATTTTACACCAAAAAGGTCTTCACTATTTTAGTCCTTCTCCTCTTGCGGTTTCCCTTTACTTTATTTGCTCCATGAAGTAGAATGTGACCTCTCCTTTGTGTAATTTCAGCTTGCAGCTGTTTTTCTAATTTTGATGATTTTGGTTGTCAACCTCATCATCGGTTTGTTACCGTACATCAACAACTTTTCCAATGTTGGAGGGTTTATTACTGGTTTCCTTATTGGGTTTGTGATACTATTCGAACCACAACTCAACAGAAGGGCTCAAGCGAAGGGAGGCTTGTTTGAGTATGATCTCAAACAAAAAGTTAAATTGAAGCAGAAGTTGGACAGGCCATTTCTGAGGGGCATTTCTCTTGCCATCTTCGTATTTCTGTGAGTTTCTGCCACTTCATTTAAGGTATAGTTCTCCCAGAGGCCTTTATATTTTTAACTTGAAAGAATTCTCTTGAAATGCAGGTTTGTAGGAATCTACATGGCTGTTCTTCGTGGAACAAATGCGAACATGTATTGTAGCTGGTGTAAATACATAGACTGCATTTCGTCCAAATGGGGTAGCTGCGTGGACAAACCAATACACTGCGAGGTATGATTAAATAGGAAACAATAACAAATCCTATACCAAATTTGCGTTACCAAAAGAGAAATCAAGAAAATGAGATACTGTTTTTAAGTTTCAAAGCACAAACTCATGTTGAAAGGAGTTCATGAGCATTTCAGATGACTTATTTTCAAAGAACGAGTGCTTTTTAATAGAGAAATGTACTACTTCCAAAGGAACATTTGGCAATGAGTATCTAAGACTCTATGCTAACGGAGTATTTAAGGAATCAGTAGATTGGTTAGATGTGAAAGCACTTTATCCCCAACAAGGAAGTAGGTGCCCCCGTACCGAGAATGAAGTTCGCGAGTGTGGGAGACTTAAAGAGAAGTCGGGATAGACCCAAAATGACTTGGACTGAAGGTGTAGAGATAATCATTTGAGGACTTAATGAACATATGATGCTATGTCAGAAAAGAACGGAAAAAGTGGGTTTTGGTTGTTTAGATTTTATATAATCATATTGGTTCATGTAGCAGACCCATTGAATTGGAATTTAGGCTTGGTTGTGTTGTGGTATCCCAAAGATGCTCTTTAAGGCTATGCACTCATAACTGCCTGCAATAACTTCATATATCTGAAGGGAGAAAGCGGCATTTGCCTACTGAATTTTAGACCATCCATTATACGGAGTATCGAACACACGTTATTAGGAACCATTAGTGCATAAATTGTAATTATTAGAATGAAATGGCTGAAATGAAAGAAAATGACACTTTAGCCCTTATTTTTTCTCAACTTTTGGGTGTTTGCAGACCATGATAAACTCAGAGCACTTGATCTTGACATGCTCAGACAATGGAAACTTCAGAATTCTCCCTTACACCCACATTTCTCCCTCAAGGATTGAAGATTTGTGCAGTCTCATATGCTCTTAGATATGGTAATTGTGAATTTGTACACAACGGGTGACCGGTTCAAAGGCCTAACACCAATGCCAATACTTAGCTTCCAATTGATGTGTATAGGTACAACAAAAGTGTGAGGTTGTTGTTCAACCATTTCGTCTAGACATTGAATTTTTGATACATAGACATGAGCAAAAGAAATACCAGAAGGCTTGGATTCTTGCTTTTGAAAGAAATTCTTGATATATGCTTCTTTTGTAAGTGCTTTGAATGTAAATACACGATATATCCTTGTAAGATTTCTGATCAAAATCTCATTGTAACTATATTGTAGAGAGTTTTAACATCTTTTTAGTAGATTGGGAAAAAGACTAAACTAAGAGTAAAACATGAAGAAAGTATTAAAATAGGAGCTTCGTGTTTTTATCCATATTAAAAATATATTTTGGTATTTTCTCTATGTTTTACTTCTAGCAAAGGTAGATTGCTTCTCAAATAAGGTTCTTGTTTACTATTCTCAAGGTCAAACCAATTCTACTTTCTTGTTTACTTTCTTTATACATTTACATCGATGATTTGATAAAATAAAATAACTCAGTCTTTACTTGTTTTGTAGAACTTTTGATGCAGTCTTTTAATATATAATTTTTATATTTTAATTCTACACCTTTTTTTACTTATACTGATTTGAAAATAACTTTAAACAAACATCGTTAACTGCAACATGCACCTTATTCTAGGACAGAGTGAATATTAGTTTCTTGTTTCCTCTTCTACATCTTAAATATATTATTCAAATAATTTTATTTTTTGTTTAATAAAGTACACAAATCTAGCACGGAGTATAAAAGTTATTTAGTGCATTTTATGTTGGATGAATTAATTAATAATTATAAGAGTGACCATATTACTCCCTTCATTCCAAATTAAATTGTTTATTTACTATTCACCAGGTAAAACTTCCTTTTCTTATTTTTGTTACTCATTTGATAAAATAATATAGCCTTATTTCTTCTTGCTTTATGGAGCTTTCGATGTAGTTTTTTAATATGTAAACTGAATTTTTTTAATTCTGCCCCGATTCTATAATAAATTGCATTGAAAAACAATTTTAGTCAAACATCGTAATCCAAAACAGACGATTTAAATTGGGACGAAGATGTTGAGTAATAAAAATAATTTAATACGAGTAAATAATATACACCCTCCGTCCGCCTTAAACTTCAAATATGGTCGATAATCGATTATCACTTTTGACATAATTGATTATCCTAATTACCGTTATGCATTGGCGGCTATATTTTTTACCGTTTGAGTCAAAGATATCCAGATAATCGATTTTGTTTATATGGATAATCAAGTATCAGCCAATCAAAATCCAATCTTTGACTTTTTAATTACTTGATTTATTCCCAATCAATAAGCAGCGGTCACAACCCCTTGTAGCAAAAAAATAAAGGTCTTTGGCCTTGTTTTTACATACCTTTCATTCTTTATCATTATATTCATATCATTTGTGCATCAAATCTAGAGCTTTTGTTGACCCATTTGTGGAATAACTTTGTATTGTTCATAGAGATTCTGTTCTATCTCTTGATACACTCTTCTTATAGAGTTCATAACATAAGAGAGATGTTTGAGAAAACTTATTATTCTAATTCAGCATTAGGATTCCTAAGAACCCATAGTCTTAGTAGTTGAAGTCTTGGGCGAGGAGTCCGTGCGGTGTGAAGTCTTGGGTGTGGATTCTGAGCGGTTGAAACCTTGTGATGAACCATTTCACCTATGTTGAAAGAATGAGAAAATTAGTTCAATGATTTATAGGCTTTTAATGCTTTGATGCATGAGAGAAATGTCAAGTATCTTGGCGTGGCATAGCAGAATTTATCTCCGTTGTCGCAGCCAATGCAACTTTGTTTCCTAGATTGCCTCAAATAAATTCTTAGTACTACTGCTAAATGGTTACATACCATATATATATATGTGTGTGTGTGTGTGTGTGTGTGTGTATATATATATTTTATTTTTTTTCTTTTTTGGTACAAATCATCACGCCTATATATATATATATATATATATATATATATATATATATATATATATATATATATATATATATATATATATATATATATATATGTATATATATATATATGGGCTGGTTCCCGTGAGAATGCACCTTGTGGAGAGAAATGAGAATAAAATCTAGCCGTCGGATCTAATGCATCGTGCGGCTCAGATTGCATCCTGCGCTCAGATTTTGAGATGGTGCATTTCGACGTGATGCATTTTCGCACCATTTTGGTGCATCTAATTTTGATGAAATCTTGACCCTTAGATCTCACAATCTAAAGCACCAGACTCATTCTCATTTCTCTCCTAAGATTGCATTCTCACCGGAACCAAAATCTATATATATATATATATATATATATATATATATATATATAGGGATTGACTCCAGCAGATGACACCTTACGGTGAGATAACATGCTACGGTCAGATGACTCAAAGCTCACCACTGGCCAATGCAAAGCTCACCATATTTTTTCAACACTTTGAATTTTTTTTGAAAAAAAATCAAAGGAATTGGTGCTGACTAGACTTTGACCGTTGACCATCACCACCGCCGACCTCCGCCAGCCGCCGCCAACCTCCGCCTCCGGTGACCACCGCCAGCGACCTCCGCCGCCGGCGACCTCCGCCACCGCCGCCGGTGACCACCTCCGCCGCCGACAACGACAACCGCCGCCTGTCGCCGGCCACCGGCGACCACCTCCGCCGCCGGTCTCCGCCGCGCCGCCGCCACTGACCGGTGGTTGACCGGTGTTGCTATTTTATTTTTTATTAATTTTTTAATTTTCAAAATAAAAAAAGGTGAGTTTTGGTGTTCAAAGTGGTGAGCTTTGCCTTATTTCCAGGTGAGCTTTACATTGGCCATTGGTGAGCTTTGCAGTGCTGTGTGGTGAGCTTTGCGTCATCTCACCGAAGCATGTCATCTCACCATAAAGTGTCATCTTACTGGAGTCAATCCCATATATATATATATATATATATATATATATATATATATATATATATATATATATATAGGTAGAAATTTAGTTGTGAGAAGGGGAAATTCTGATGCATTGAATGGAGGAATTCTGATGTATTTATATGACCCATGGCCGAATTTGGGCCTTTTAATCCCCCAAATTCCTCTTTACTCTGTAGCCCTAAATTGCCCTGTACTGTACACTGCTTTTTGTATATAGTAAGATGAGTGACATGTAATCTAAAGATTTGCAAATCTACTGTGGTTGCAATGTTTAATGTGCCCTAGCTGGAAAGTAAGCATGCCATCAATGGATTGACGTACCCTCCATGCTGAAAAGAGTTTAATAAATGTGATTGGAGTAATTGGACATAAAGAGCACTCCTTTTGTGGTTGGCTCGAGACTTCATGGTCTAGAGTCCTACTACCCACTTACCAATACTTGGCCCACCAATCCGACCCATTACTGTTTCCAATTGGATACTCAAATTTTGGGCGGGAACACTGTTCAAAATCACATCCTACCATTGTATATAGTAAGATATTTCGAACATGGGTTAGTGGCATTCAAATTAAAAAAGATAAAAAATTGAATTATTGACATCGATACTAAAAAAAGTAAGAAAAGGTATAAATATAATTAGTGTGCTTCACAACAATATTACTCGTACTAAAAAAATAAATAAGTAAAAATTAATCAAATAAATGAAGTACTGAGTATAAATTATTTTAATAAAAATATGAACTTTCAAAAATGTAACATTACTTCAATACTTTTCATTTTTTTTCAATATTTTCTAACTGTTTTTATTTTCTTTCAACTCATTTCAGGGTTTTTCACATATTTTGAGTTTCTTCCCATCTTTTTATATTTTTATTACTATTTCCAGTTTTTTTCTTCCAGTCTTTTTCAAATCCTTCCAAAAATTTTCAATCTTTCTAGTTTTTCATAGTTCTTCATTTTTCTTCCTTACTCTTTTCAATTTTTTCTAATTTCTACAAATTATATTTAAATATATTTTTTTTCTTAAATTCCATATGTAAAGTTTAAATACGGATTAGGAAGTCCTTTCAATCGTGCGGTGTACACTTCTCATAGTAGCGGAGCGTCAAGCGCAGAATTTGAATAAACGCCCAACGGCTACCCCTTTCCATATCAGTATCTTTCTCCACTCTTCTTCCCCAATATCAATCCCACATTCTCTGTCTCAGATTCTCCAGAATTTCTGCTCGTTTCATCTTCTTTCTCACGAAAATTTTCCCTCATGGCCTCCTCCGCGGTAGATTTGAACCGTCTCAAACCTAGCCAGGGGTCTAGAAAGGTCCGAATCGTGGGCAAAATCAGGGGTTTCACAGACCAGGAGTTAGGGTTTCTCGGCGGTTCTAAGCCGTGGATCACTGTAAACAAACCACCTGAAGCCGATTCCTCTGGACCTGTCACTATCTTGTTTGGAGAAAAGGGAACCAGGTAATTTTACTGATTAATCATTGCAAGATTTTACTGCTTCTATCCGTTCTTGATCTGTTGCTCAATGTTAATCGTGACTATTCTAAGTGGAATTGGATTTTACTTGGTCATTGATTTGAATTAGTACTCCTAAATAATGGATGTTCATAGTCTAATAACATGTCCAATTATTTATCTGGTGGTATGATTTATATGTGATTGTTTAGAAATTTAGTATTGTGAGTTGTGACTTGTACTGCTAAAAGATCAGTACTTTATTTGATCTTTATGACATTATCTATGCTTGTATCGGATAAACTTCTTTTATTTTGTCTTTCTGTTTTGAAATTTTATTTTATTTCCATTTAGAAATTTTAGTTCAGTAATTTCTGAATGAAACTTGATATAACGTGCATATTTGATCTTTATCCATGCTTGTATCCGATAAAATTCTTTATTTTTTGTCTTTCTGTTATGAAATTTATTTTATTTCTGTTTTTACATTTTGTCTGAGCTGATTTATTATGGCATCACTTTTGAGCTGGATTTCAGATTTGAGGATGTGAATGGGTAAGACATTATCTTTGAAATAAGGGTAAGGCCTTACAATTTCTTTTGCAGTCGCAAAGATACATTTGAACTGGATTACTGTTATGAGCAAGGAGAGGATGATAGTGTGTTGTTCTCAAGAGAGATAAAGCCTGCTATCTCAGATATTTTCACTGGAAAAGATGCTTCAGTTATTGCATATGGAGCTAGATGTAGTGGGAAAACTTGTACAATTCAGGTGTGTGGATCATTGAGCAATCTCTCGCCCTCTTTATTAATAAAACTGATTTTTATGAAGTTTTGGGTCCTTTTTTTGTAGAATTTAGCAACTTCTGCCATTCATGATATCCTTTCAAGAGTAGAGGATGTTGGAAAGAGAGTGTCCATATCTTTCTTTGAGGTCATTCAAGAGCATGCTTATGATATTTTGGACCCAGAAAAGAGGGAGGTGCAAGTATTTGAAGACTCTCAAGGCAAAGTGAAACTTAAAGGACTTTCTAAGGTAAGTTTTTTTTCTTTCTATATAAACAGATGATTTTTTTGAACACAAGGTTTATAACCAAATATTACTTTTAGGATTAGGGTAATATAATGCTTCAATGTTTACCTATAGGTCTCAATAAGCTCCATATCAGAGTTCCAAGATATATATTCTGCTTCTAGCACATCAGGCAAACAAGCACAGAAGACATCAATTGGACAGTTGAGAAGGAGCCATAGGGGTTTGGTGGTACACATTTCATCTCCTGATGAAAGCCATAAAGACAAACCTATTGGTGTTATAAACTTTATTGATTTAGCGGGTAATTCCTTTTTACATCGGAAAGTAAAATTTTTACATAATGTTTTAGGGTAGGTCTGGGTCACAGAAAATGCATGAGGGAGGGAAAAATGCTAAGAAAAGTTATTTTCTTGCACTTGGATTTATGTAAAAAAAATCATTGTGAAATCTGATACAATATGTTTATACAAATCTCAAATTTATTTATATTTCTTAGTGCTTGTTTAGTAAAATAAATAAATGAAATGAATTTGAACAAATGTTTTACTTTAACCTACATTTCTTATTTTCCAAATTTCCCTCATATTTGCTTCCTATTTTTCACCAACATTTTTGAATTCCAGAAATACTCTTCATTCATGTATTATCCTAAATGTATGTATTCTATGGTGCCTTATATGTAACAAAACAAATTTTCTCAGGTTATGAGGATTCTAGAAGTAGTATTAGAGATGGAACGTCACTTGCTGAAAGCACTAGGATAAATAAGTCTCTTCTTTCCATAATGAACGTTGTGTTTGCACTGAACACGAATGACAGTCACGTTCCATATCGAGAAAATAAACTCACTCGCATGCTAAAGGAGTCTCTTGGGGGAAACAACTATATGTTGTTGCTTGCTTGCATGGTATCATCTTACTACTGTCTGTTTATTTTCATTGTGGTATTGCTACTTTTTGTAAGGTTTAGTCATAAAGTGTTTGGTGTGATGGTCATAACTTGTGGGTTCTATTTTGTGCTTTACGTTTCTAGAACCCAATCTTCTGTCAAGACACAATCTACACTGTAAGTCTGGCTTCACGGTTATGTGAAAACATCAAGATGTCATCTCGAAGCTCTGCACCGAAGTGTAGAAGTTCTACCAAACGAGATGTACGCCCACTCACCACCACCCCATCAAGTGTGAAAATGCAAAATAGCAGTGGTGTACGGGATTTTTCTATAAAGAGAGGCCCTAGTGCGTTGAAGGGAAGGTAGAGTTAGTTCCTTTCTTAATGAATGTCGAAACCGTTTCTTATCTATCATGCATGCTGAAACAGTTTTGTGCTTTTCCCCTATTTTGAAGGAAACTATTTAGCGGAGGCAAAGCTTCAACTTTTAAGAAGGTATCAATTGTTACATTATTAAAGTACCATTGCATCCTTGGACTTAGTTATGAATCTCTTGACTATATCTTGATTTTAAAACTTTGATTTAATATATTCTATTATGTTTGAGAATTTATTTTCCACGAAGGACACATTTTTTTCTCCCTATGAGCGGGGTAGTGGGATGATTTTTTATGGAAATATGATTAAAAGGTTATAACAATGATCATCAAGATGATTGAACTGTTTTCTTGGTGATAATTATCAGGTAGAGGTCCTATCAGATGATTCTTTAGCCTCAAAGACTAAGCTTCTCCAAGAGACTACTTCTGCCAAAGAATCCTGTTTGCACAAAGAGGTATTAGATGCCACCTTTTGAAACATCATTTTGAGTGAATAAGAATGATCATTTTACCTTGTTTGTAACACAGGAAGAGGTCTCACCAAATGATTCTATGGCCATAAAGTCTGAATTTCTTCAAGATGACACTCTTTCACTCTCAAAGACTAAGCTTCTCCAAGAGACTACTTCTGCGAAAGAATCCTGTTTGCACAAAGAGGTATTAGATGCCACCTTTTGAAACATCATTTTGAGTGAATAAGAATGATCATTTATTCATTTTACCTTGTTTGTAACACAGGAAGAGGTCTCACCAAATGATTCTATGGCCATAAAGTCTGAATTTCTTCAAGATGACACTCTTTCACCCTCCATGCAGTTTTCCTTGCATGAAGATGTCCCTTCAGGAACATTTCAGGCTGCTGATTCCGTCTCCATGATAAGCAGTTTCCTATGTGAAGAGGTATTTAAATAGTATCACTTGAAGCATCCTTTTGAATGAACTTGATTGAGGTTAAGAAAAGTATTTTTTTATCGTAATAGAATACACCAAAATGAATTCTCTCTTTATGGGAGTAATTATAATTTTATACCAGTTATAGAGAGCCTCTAAGATTTTTCACCATCACAAAGGTTTTCATGCAGTTCCTGGTGATATAGTCATGCTTCATTTAAAAAAATTCATATCGTAAACTTAACATGCACATCATAGAATATGACGGTTCTACACATTTTTTATGGATAAATTGTGAAAATACGGAGTAAGATAAAGTTTAGTTTTGCCCTTAATGTGATGAATTGTAATGTTTGGGCATATGTAGACACTTGTTTTTTGTTTATACCAATTTTGTCTATTTAGACCAAATAGATCACTCTAAACACTTCAATGTAAAATGTTCTCCTTAAGATTATATTACTCCATCCGTCCTAGAAAAGGATTTATGATTCGGTTTACGATATTTGATTGAAACTATTTTCGTTGGAATTTATTTGAAAATTGGTGTAAAATTAAAAAATAATACATACATACATACATACATACATACATATATATATATATATATATATATATATATAAAATTTAACATCGAAAGTTCTATAAAATAAGAAGTGTCATGACTATTTTATTATTTCATCAGATGATCAATGAAAATACATAAGTAAAGAAGATAGAGTTCGACCATTTGAATAGTAATATGGAACCTATTCTGGGATGGGGGGAGTAGGAATAAGACAACCAATACCTTTTCTGGGACGGAGCGAGTATAAAAAAAGTCATTTGGCAGATTTTTCATTTGATCTTGATGGGTTATATTATCCAGTACATAGAGAGTTTGAATTATCTTTTCTAATTATAGGTTATAGCTCTTCCATGGTGTTATTTGAGCATCATTTATGGGTTTATTTTTTTTACTTTAAATTTCTTAGAAATATCCTCATGATGTGGGAGTTACCTCAAGCACTTCTAGCAAAAATATAGGATTCACAACTGGACAAGGTAATATAATTCACTTCTAATTTGGTTAACAATCGTAAGATGTATTTATTTTTTCTTGGGCTATATTACCACCATATTATATTACACAGGTGGTGACATTGAGAAGGAGAACAGAATTGCCAACACAAACAAAGATGGATCACCGTTATTAAGTGAAAGACTTCGAGCTTTAACGGATCAGTTAAAACAGTTAGAAGCTTCCACTCCATTGGCCATGACGAAATTGCCAGAGGAGGGAAATCAAGGAGTTTTACTTGAATCAATGGAACCTAAAACCCCAGTTTTTGAAAATGATTTTGGTGTGGTTATGACCAAGTACAACAGTCCTTGGGAGGCATTAAGTGAGCACAAATCAAGAGCAAAGGTACATTCTTATTTCTTTTTTACTTATTAAGCTAGAGATGAATTAATTAAATCACATCTGATTGCTCTAGCATGCCAGGATTCCTTCGCTCGAGAATGCGTGAAGTTCTTGAACAGTGCAAGCAAGTGAGTATCTATTCTTCTTCTCTATTACTCCACTGTGCTTCTCCTTCCACCATTGCTCTTTTGTACCTTGTCATTGTACTTTCTTAATAATAGTGCAAACTGTTGAGACTGAACTTACCAGGACTAAAACTTGGTCTGCCACCCTAAAGAGTCAGACTAATATGAGGAGTCATCCAAAAACCTTATATATTAGGAGTAATGCAGAACCTAATATGGTGCTAATGTGATTGATTTGGAATGAATAAATGCAAACATTTAAAACAACTACGGAGTATATGAAAACCAAGTATTTCATTGATATTTATGTTTCATGCTTCTCTTTTTCTAATTTTTTTAAATGTTTCTTCTTTTGGTTAATAGGGATGATTTGAAGCGGCTTAAGGGAATAGGAGAAAAACGAGCTGCAAACATCCTCGAACTTCGTGAGGACTCCCCTGAGCATTTTAAATCAGTAAGGACACTTCTTCAATTATTATGACTATTTGCGCATTATTTTTACGGAGTGTTAATAACAAAAACATGTGTACAATTTGGCTTTGTAGCTTGAAGATTTGAAAGAGATAGGTCTTTCAGAAAAGCAGGTAATTCTATCATTGATGTTTTTATTTTACCATTATAAGAATTTCCGTTTGGTAAATCTATTTTTCTCTTCACTCCCAACTTTCAACTAAAAACAGGTGAAGATCATGGTGAAGACAATGGGAGCAGAGCTTTTCGCTTAAGTGTTATTTCATCTGTGGGTTGAAATGGCAAAATTAGTTCATGTATATTGATGTTTGAATATTTTTCTATATAAAGTTGTTATTAAGCTGTTCATTGTTTATAAACGTTTGGCTGTGTAATACTCCTAATTATTAATATCTTGGACAAGCTTTTTATATACACTTGGAAAATGATTTTATCTTGGACTGCTCTTATTTTATATCCTAGTTTTAGTTGGTTAGGCATTATTATATATTTGGATATGAGCTGATGTGTAGTTTTCCCTCTTGATACTCCTCTATAAGAGCATTATCTTTCAATCCCGAACTTATTGAAACATTCTTAATATATTTGAATCTTTTTAGAGGTTTATTAAACTTTTAGGGCTTATATGTATACAAATCGTATTTGAAATTCATTTCATATTTGGATTCAGATTTTGTTATCTAAGAAATTAAACAAATTTAAAATCAAATATTTGGATGTTCACTTTCATTTGCTTCATTTACAATCTTAATCATAGTTTCTTGCAAGAATTTGTTCTTATCATTAATTTATGAAGTTGAGGAAGTAGAAAGTATAAACACATTCTCTTAATATTTGGTAATCTAAGATTGTGGAATTATAAACTTAAAGTTAAATGGCTCAAATAATGCTTCAATCCTTCAATCTCAATTTATGATATTTGGTGAGAGTTATTTTGAATGAATATCTAGATGTCTTACGCCCTCCATTGAATAAGTGTCATATGGACTTCTAATGTCACACAAGTTTAGTCAATTTGTCTTACTTTAATTTTAAAAATTTGTAAAATGGCTCCAATGTCACCCCTTCACTCAACTTATCAAGTAGTGTAATTTTATTTCTCTTATTAATTTACTAGTTTTAATTTTAATGTTTTACACGGTTCATAGACAGCTTGAAATTTCTAAAATTCTTATAAACTTATATTTCAATATGTAAATCTATTTATTTTAATTTCAAATAATGCATATGGTGTTTTTATAGACTTCTACGGAGTATTATATTTTGTACAAAAACTTACATTTTCCAACTATGTTACCAATTTGTACTACGTACATTGTAAGGTTTTTTGGAAAAATTATCTCACTCTTTCGTGCTCTTTCAAAAATAATCTCACTTTTCACTGTCAATAGAAATAATCTTACCTTTCTGCACGTGTGCGAGTTTTGGGTTGTCGTTAAAAAACTAACGGTCACTTAACGGAATTTTTAGAAAATGCAAGTTTTTTGCAAATAAATGAAAGGTGGGATATTACTTTTTACTTTTTAAATTTTAAATTTAGGATTAACATTTTTAAAAATATAATAGTACACTCTTGTTAGAGATTTGTCTAACAATTTACAAATTTTGTTTTCTGTTATGGGAAAATATAATATCCAATTATAAAAAATAATTCAAGAAAGAAATTGCAATACAATAAAGTCGTAGTGAGTTATAAAAAAATTTAAAGCCATTTCGAAGAAAAAAGTATTGTGCCATTTTCAGAACTTTTGCATTACTATTTTGGGGAAAAATTTGTACTGAATTATCAAAAAAATCACAAATTAGGTAGTCCCATTTTAGAAAAAAATAACATAGGCAATAGAAGATTATCAATGAATATTTCGGAGTGTTGTTTATGAAAAAAATTACAATACAACAGAAAATGTAGCGAGTTATAAAAATAAAAGTTTCATTTCAGAGAAAAATTTGTTGTGATATTTTCATAATTACCGAAAAATATTCACAAGTTTTGTAGTGCCATTTTTTAAGAAATAATAATAATATAGTATCAAAAAACAATTCGAAGTGGCACTCAAGAAAAATAATTGCAACTTACAAAAAAAAATGTAGTGAGTTATAAAGTAAATAAATTAGCTCTATTGTGTGGAATAATTTGTTTTTTAATTATTACAAGATTATCGATTATTGAAAAAAACAATTAGTTTCACTTTAAAAAAAAACTAAAATTTGGTATTATTTTTCCAAAAAAAAATTTAAAATACATTTAAATTTAAAGTTAGAAATTAAAAGGGCAAAAAAAAGAATTTACCTAAAATAATCCCACCTTTCATTTATTTGCGAAAATAGACATTTTTCAAAAAATCCGTTAAGTGACCATTAGTTTTTTAACGAGGACCCAAAACTCGCACACATGCGGAAAGGTGGGATTATTTCCGGTGACAGTGAAAAGTGAGATTATTTTTGAAAGAACACGAAAAGGTGGGATTATTTCAAAAATGATCTTAATGATCTTTCTAAATCACATTTTTGGATATCTGAAAATAGTCTTATTACTATCTTTTTTAACATTTAAAAAGCTACAACTATTGCCAGTCAGTGCCGGCCTCGAGAATTGTGATGAGACGGAAAAAATAGATTTGAGCCTAGCAAATTAAATCATACAAATTCTTTTCTTTAAAATAACAATTAATATTATAGTAATACACATAACAAAGTTATAGTATTATACTTAAATATCATAATACTTACCTTTAAAAATTATGTTTTTAATTTTTTTTAAAAATAATAATGCAAATATATATTAAACAATTAAAAATGATCTCTTGCTTGGATGTGAGAAGAGGATTGAGTGGATACTCTTTGAATAATCAAATGATGTGTTTATGAGTGTGTTCTTGGTAATTTGTCAATGATAAATATGAATGGGGGAGGTTAAGAGAAGTTAGGGGGAGGTTATCCATCAAAAGGGTTGAAAGAATTACTTGTTTGAAAGTCGAAATTGTTGTACTGTTTGAATAAGTCTTCATTTATTCGAATAAACTAGTCCAGTGATATTTTGTGGCTCACAAACTATTCTGTTTATTTCAATGAATTGACAATTATTCAACTAAGTAAGTACTTTTCAATTAGGAGAAAAATTATTACTTATTCGAATAAACTAAAGGTTATTCAAATACAAGAACAACTTAACCACACATTCTAAGACTTAAATGACTACCCAACCAAGGTAATAAAGTCTTCAGTCTTAACCCTTCAAAGGATGCTCAAGTCCGTTCTTCACGGATGAATATGAACTTTGTTAAGACTCTTGAATCTTAGCTGCGCTTTAATGCTCAATATGACATTGATCTTTTGTCACCTTTTTTCTCATTATCAAAATGTAAAAGATAATGAGCAAAGGACATTGTGTGTGTGTGTGTTTATTATAACACATTGTCCAACGATAAATTGGTTGAGAAATAATAATAAAATCTTTGAAAAATATGTTTAATTTAAAAAAGTACAAAGATACTACCGTAAAAAAGTTGTGCGATTAAAAATATTTGAGTGACATTTTTAATATTCTAGAGAGTTCACTGATATTATTGTAAGAAGGAAAAAAGAAAGTGATATTTTTTTCAATTTTTTCAAATAGCTCAATAGCATTATTAGAAGAAAAACTATCCACAATAATCCCAACCTTGTTTTTCAAAAACAATCCCATGTTTCACTGTGATGCATAATAATCTCAACTTTCTTGAAATTTGCGAATTTTAGGTCGCCGTTAAGTTGCTAACAGTGGGTTAAAGAAATGGTATGTTTTGCGCAACAAAATGAAAATTGAGATTATTTTTTGAAAAAAAAGGTAAAATTGAGATTATTTTAGAAAATATTTTCTAAAAAAATAAGAAGTGGTACATTAATGCTCTGTATAGTTCACAAAATGTTAAAACCCACCAATCCGTATACTTTTATTATATTTCTTTGATGGATATCCAGACCCAATATATGTAAATGAATGGCCCAGTCTTCAGGAGTGACTTGGGTTGGTACGAACAAGGGCTAGTAAACAGGAAACAAAAGGCCCAGTTCCCGTTGATAGGCCCAAACGTTTAACGAAGGCAGACTGTACAGCACCAAGTCGTGGGAAGATCAGGGTTGAGATGGTGAACCACCACGATCGACGTGCAAGAGATAATGGTGATGTTTATGCACACGATGAGTGCCCATTATGTTTGTAATCATAATATAGTATAAATAGAAGGAGACCCTCCATTGTAAACTAAGCGAAAAACACTGATATACACAAAGTAATAGAAATACATTAAGATTGATTAATTATCGTTATTATTCGTTCTTCGTCGCCATAGTTGTTGGGCTAATTCCCATCATTGGTGCTTTCATTGAGAGATTAAGATTGAGAGATTGTGAGTTGAGAGTTTAGCCGGTCGAAGAACCAAGCAATAGAATTGAACCAAGCAATAGAATTGAACATCCTGGAAGAAAGGAGTGAGGAAGCCCGGATCCGGGCGGAGAATCATAAGAGACAAGTTAAATCCTACTTTGACAAGAAAGTGAAGCCAAGAGCATTCTAGGTAGGCGATTATGTCCTCAGAAAGATGGAAAAAATCCAACCAAGAAAAGGGGAAAAGTTAGCGAAGTCCTATGAAGGTCCATATATATCGTCAAAGTAGTCCTGCGCCCGAGTACTTTACAAGCTAATGACTCTTAAGGGAAACGAGATAGATAGAACATGGAATGTAGAACACTTAGTTAAGTTTTATCTGTAATCGAGATGTACTTTTTACTCTTCTTTATGACTAATAAAGACCAAGTGTTATTTCATAGTTCTAGCCTACGTACAAAGGGGGGGGTACCCCTAATACAGGGAGGTAGATAAGTTTGTGCCACCTCCTAAAAATAGGGGAGATAGAAAATAATATGCCCCCAGAGGTAGAAAAGATTTATGCCTTCGTCAAAACAAGGAAGAGATTTTACAGCCCAGTCCTTGAGAGGAACGACAAACAAACGTAGAGGACCAGAGCCAAGTAAGCCACCATTCAAGCCGAGGAAGAAGATGGATAAACTGAAGCTTCCAAGGCAGCAAGCAGAAAAGATCATGCCTTAACCCCGGGGATATAGGTAAAGGGAATGCCATACTTTACCTAATAGCCTTAGGAAGTGAGATGAATAGCGCAATAGGAGTAAAGGTAAACAAATACATTTCGCTTCACATAAAGCGCACATATATACAAAATAAAGATGAATAAAGACAGGAGAAAAAAAATTTCATTAAGATAACTTGTACAAAGGATTACATTCTTTTCGGTTATGATAATGAACTTTATCCGATCCCCAAATTCGGAATAGTGCAGACGCCTAAAAAGGGTAGCGAGTTGGAGCGGGAATGAA